GGTTAGGCGAATTATAGACATCTCTACGCTTGCCTGGATGTGTGTCTGTATCGGTCGTTTTTGTGTCTATATCGGAAAAAATGTTACGTTATTTTTACTGTCTGACACTTGAGAAAAATTGCCAAATCATATTCGCCGCTCATTAGGCATTGAATGGGTGTAAAACTGCACACGCTCTATAGCCAGCTTTGTCGTTCGCTGGTTCGTTGCTTCGCTGATTTAGCAACGGTTTCACAATGGAGTTGCATGGGTTAAATGACTTTTATAAATTTTATTTTGAAATGTTTAATATGTACTTATTATCACATCGCATCTCATTATGCATCACTTGGATGCCCTTAGTGTAAACAAATACTTCGAGAATTAATCCATATATGTATGCACTCGTACATATGTATATACAAAATTTTATATAAATTCGTAACGTAACTCCTAGCTCGAAAATAACAAATTAACACAGAATCTTCTTACCTTCTAAATATACACGTATCATCATAATGATGGGCCCATGAAACAAAAAGAAAAAAAAAGAATTATAAAACATAAAAGTCCTTAAATATGCAAACAGTCTTGCATAGTCCTGATGAAAGACAATTCCCTTCCAATCGACTAAACCTGGGCGCTTCTGGGCGACCACTTCCTTCAGACGGTCCAATTACTGACAGTACAGAAGGTAATTGACAAACGAAACCGATGAAGCCGAAATTGCATATTATCGCATCTATTGGTTACAGTATCAGAACCATGCTTCTTTATCTTAGAAAAATAATAGAGTATAGCTTATTTTCTCTTTGTTGGTGTCCATCTTCGAATTGTCCTCAAACACTACTCAGTTAAGCGATCAACATATCTCCCGTTACCTTTTCTTGTACAAAACATAATCGTTTTAACAATATCTAGCTTAGTCCAATCCCACTTATAGAACTCGGGATGCAGATTACTGAAGCCTTCAGTTGCAAAAATAATGAATTACTTTTTATTTTTAAGGAAAAAGTGCTGTCTGATCGGAGTTTTTAAAAAAGTAAAAGAGTCAAGATAAGATCTCACTTCTTAAAAAAGTAGAACTTGAAGAAACTTTGAACATATCTAAAGGTGCTGTCATACGCAGCAATTTTCTTTCAATTTTTATTAACTTTATACATTTTGTTGTAGAAGATCTAGTTCTCTAATTGAATTGCTGAAATTATATTTCGAAATTTGTCAATTTGAAATGAATTAATTGCTGCATCTGGCGCCACCTTGAATGTTGTAAGTTAATTTCGACACCCACCGCAGTCTTAAAATTATTCGAAATTGAATAAATGTCTCAACGTAAAAAGTCCACTTTAATGATTTAGTTGTAACCTTCAAATCGATAACTTCGCGAAAAACAACATTAGTTCTTAATTACGTTCGAGTGAGTCATATCCATATACATAAACCTATGTACATACGAGTATGCGCCCGACTACCTGAAAGAAAAACAATAAAATGCACACAACTACGCTCACATTCACCATTACATGCTCTGTATAAAACTTTTCTACAAATCATTCCTCATGCCGTGTTTTTCATTTCCTCATGTCATTAATCGCTAACGAAATATTATAGAATTCTTGGAATTCAAATAACGAGGGAGTAATTAGCTACTAATGTACTCAAGCTGTTCGCTTAGTTAAATTAAAGTTAGAAACAATTTTTTTCCAAATTGATTTTAGATTCTGTTGGATATAATGAAACTCATCCTGACCTTTCCTAAGATTTTCCACAAATTTTGTTCTCTTTTACATCTCTCACATCTTTAACCAAACCCCTTGCAACTTTTATATAGAAATTAAGAATGTCATATTTGATCTTTCAGTATAACAGAATATATACATAGCTAGTACTCGCCGTTGCCAATGAGCAAAGACCGCAAGTCGTTCCCAACCTTTCTCGAAGTCTTCCAACGCCAACTCATCTGAGGTTGTCATCGTCCATCTCTCCCAGCCCGCCAGAAAATATACACTCTTCAGCTCTACAGCTCGTATTACTTTCTCAGGCAGTGGATTAAAGAAGTCATCTTGTCTGAAACCCCGTTTGGCATCGAAGGGCTTGAATAGATACTTCTCAATCCCGAGAGATCGAAGGCTATACTGATAATATCGATATTGAGGAGACTTTTTTCCGGGCAACTGGCGAAGTAGACTCAGTCTTTAATCGTCTACCATATTCTGCAAGGAACCTGATGCAAGCACTTTGTCAATTTTTCGCCATATTTGAAAAGCTCACCAAGCAATCCATCGTGGATTGTTTTTCCAGTAGGCAATTGCTATTCGAACTTCTTCACAGTAGCGTAATGGAAAAACTGTTTCAACGGCATCGATCGGAGTACTGGGTTCGCCTTATGCTGGTGTTCCATTTTCAGTGACATTAAGCACGCTGAGAGAGTGTCTCTAGCAGGAGTGTAATGGGGTGTTGCCAAGCTTCAGAGCCTAGCGGGGCTATACTTAATTCTTACTTTTGTGTCAACGTCCCTCACCCTAGAAGCGTAAGCAACCTTTGTGCCAACATGCCATGTCTGTTCACCAGAGGTGCGGCTGCTGGCGGGCTTCATCTCGTCTAGCTATATAAATCTTTGCAAAATTTAAACATACGCGCCCATCGTCTAGGACCCACCACGTTGGAAACCAGCAATGATAAAGGTAACCTACTCTTCTAGCTAATATTTTTCTTCAGATTCGTTTTAAGTTCAATATCAAAACCTGGCCACTTTGCACCAAGGGCTGTGGACATCAAATATTTGTACACTCATTTGGATTTGTAAATATACACAGATTGTGATAATTTTTTATTAACTTTGCGTAAAATTAAGCAAATATAATACGTATTAACACATGAGCATACAAAGAAAGAAGCCGAACAAAGTGTGCACATGGCATGGATAGACAGATAGACTGTTTGATCATGAAAATGCAAGTGCTAACCAGTTATGAATTAATTTTCAAATAAAAAGTGTCAAGTGCCAACTGCATAGATGGAAAGGCTCGTGAATTAAACTCTTCACACTGGAGCATTCATTATGTTGAAGTGATTTGCTCTTTCAATATCTAAGCCGGTGACGAGTATCTTCCAATTCGCACCTTATCAATTCACTCACTTTGCTTACATACACGTATGCATACTTGCATGCATACATCTCGTACATAGGTAAATATGTACATACATATTTTCATAGACTAAAGTTAATTGCAAAATCTAATTGAATTGGTAAACATTAAGTTATTGTGCTTTAGTTATCGACTTGAAGACAAATCAATTTGTGTGAATTTGAGCATTAATATTTTTCAATACTCATACACATATGTACACACATACATACATATGTACATAGGTCGGCATTTAAACCACACATCTCATTTTTATGGTACCATTTTATGCAAACAATTTTGTATCTCTACGTTATATATGTATATACATAAGTACGAGTGTATTTGCATAAGCCTAGTCACTCTTAATACATATATACTTCTGAAGGTGCGTATGTATTGTGTGTGTGTATTTATATTATTGACATAAGTCCATAATACTTCTCACTGCTTCATTGAAATTGTGCCGATTCTGTTTGTTTTTACCTGTGTGAAAAAATAATAAATAAAGAAAAATCAAAGCGGTAATGGTTTCGTGTCTTTTCGCATAAGCACCGAAATAAGCACGTCTTATTTTCTTTATGTTTTTTTACTATTAAGTGAGATGCGAACAAAGATTTATGGAAATTTTCAAGCAAACATCATGTCCAACCTTTGTTTGCCGTTTGTGCCTTTAGCCTTGGCCTTTTTTCACCTTAAAGCTCACACCTTGACTCATGTGGGACGCCGAGGTAAACACTTCTGGATGGGCGCGATGTGTTCTCCACTAGAATAGGTCAATACCCATAAAAAGGAACAAGGACATTTCGAAAGCGTACTCAGATAGGGTGCAAGTCCCTGTAAATCTAGTAGTTGTTCTTTTCCATAAAACGTTTTCTTCAATTTCTGAAATAAGGAGGCATTTCCAACGTGTTAATGATAAAATTCGTCAGCCATTTTTGGCTTTTGTATTTTTTGTTTCGTTATAACGTGAAACATGCCTTCGGTGGACTCTCACCGTCGGACAAGATTTGACCGCCCAAGAGAGGTGTTCGGTTAAGGGAGCTATTTTATGATTGAGAAAATTTAGATTAAATAAATTCTAAAGTGGCGGACTAACCGATTTTAAAGTGAAAAAATCACTACATTTTTTAGGAGCTAACTAAAACGAGTAATTTTCTCCTTTGAGCTTAAGTTTGACCGCACCAAACTCTTATCTCGTGACAGCGCTCTAAATTATTATTGAATGAGAACCCCTGCGGATTAGGGGCTCTAGAATTTACCCGCGGTAAGGCATGCCTGTTGTAAGAGGCGACTAAAATCCAATAGTTCCCGCGACAGTCGGGTCTTTATACCGGAACGACCCGGATTTTTATCCGGCCAAGGACTGTCACTCCCGCAACATTCCCCAAAAAGTACTTTGGGGAATAATTTTGCGGTTACAACAACAACAACAACATTTTGAATGAGTTGTACCTAGTCTTCCTTTATTTTCCTTTGATAGCATCCAAGAAAAAATAATCTAGGAATGCATGTATCTGCAACTTGTGGAAGTTTCATATAGTGACCGGTTGAAATTTTTCTATCATTCATTTCGCTTTATTGGGAAGTCCCGTTGTTCACTTCGTATAACATAGTTACGTTACCACCACGACGTTTTTAAGTTCTAGCAAAATACTTCCGTAACGCATTCACACTCGTGTCCAGCGCGCCTAAAGAAGTTGCACTGAAAAAATGTCATTAAATCTTAATTCCCAACTGCCACGAAATAAAATTATATTTTAAATTTTTTATGCCACAAAGGGAATATTGTTCGAAAGATGATTTCAGATTGTTCTGATCTGTTGTACATTATTGATTGTGATTCTAAGTATTTATTGTTGATTATAATTTGGGAAATAGACACAACTTGAATTGTGTAAAATCAGTGAAATTCATTTTATTTAAATTTAAACCAACAGTGAAAAATTCTGATAACTTATGAAACATAATCTACATAAATCGGTCGCGATTCAAATAATGATTTTTGGGCATTTCATTCATCTCCTCTGTTGCCTGTTCCTGAATGCATTCCACAATTGGACGACCGGTTTCCACAGCGTTTGTTAATCCCTTCCGCACAGCCACCGAACTTATTGTCCGCAAATCTGTTGCCAAGTCGAGGGCAGCAAAGACACGTATCATCGCAGTAGTAAAATCACTCCCATAATCCCCAAACTCGCCACTTTGATAGTCGTTGGGCAGCAGGTAGTGATATTGAGGCCAATAGCTCTTTGTTATAAAGAATACACTATTCGAGTCCGATGGTTTAAAGTTTTTATCCAAGCCCCAGATGAAGTGTGCGGAATTTATTAGCCAACAAACGTTCAGAACGATAAGATAACGCAATGAAAATGCTACAAAGGTGGCCGCAGCAATGGAATCCCCCCAATATTCAAGTGGCGCATTAACAGGCAGCAACACATGGAGGAAAAAGTACAGTACCCAGTAATACCTGGAAGAACGTGTGTGGAATTTATCACATAACTACTTCTTTTATTTGCATACTTCAAGAAACTTACTTTTTTTGGAACATGACAACTTTATCTTGTTCAATATCGGACATATCAACTCCATCAAGCAGCAGCTGTTGTTCCGGTGTGTAACTCATAATTTGTGAATGTACTTGAGCGGCTATGAAGCTGCGAGCGCTATAAAATGGATCCTCATCTTCACGGAATCTCTGATGATGCAATCGATGAGCTTGCACCCAACTATATATGGGGCCCTAGAGAATAATCAAAATTTCATTAGTAAATTACCAATTGTATATAGTATCAAGAATTGCGGTTACTGCTTTAATGCAATAGTACATTAGCAGGAAAATTAAAACTATTTCACTTTTCGAACAAAATAACAATTCGAAAATTGTTTTGAGTTTAAGATTTTTGTTTTTCCTTTATATAAAAGTTTTGAAGCAGTTTACTGCTTCAAAGTCAGACTCGGGTTATTTAATCTGGCGCACACAGATACTCATGTCACAGACCGTAAGTAAATCTATATAGTCTCGTATGTATGAATGTACGATACCATGGTGACTTCGTTCAATTTAGCGTGGTTTGAAACCACATGAAATTTATAAATTTTACATACTAAGCGCGAGCCAAATCTCACCACAGAGTGCTCCAAATGTTTGAAAATTATGGAAGGGTTGTGGAATTTCATAAAAAAACGTTATCAATTTTCTTCTTCGAACTATTGATGAAATCGGGTTAATTATAAAGAAATTGGTATAGGTACTACCATAAAGGCTTTCTTATTACTAATTCATCAGCATGTATATATGTATGTATGTTATATTCGAAAAATATGTGTTAGCAAATTATAAATGTTTTGTACCTGTCCAGCTAAGGTTTGACACAGCATTAGGAATATTCTTAGCGATGTACTGGCAGCGTATGTTTGATGCGCCCACAGCCGATGAGCTCCAGCAGTCGCGCCCAAAATGCCCAGAAAGGTCAAAGTAAGAGCTATATAAATAAACAAAGAGACAAAATAAGCCACCAAGATAAAAACAATTGAAAAAAATTTATGTAGAAAGACCTTCAAAGAATATCTCATTTTTTTATTTTTATTATTAATAAGAGGCCCAAAGTTACTGGAAATTTAAAAACTATAGATCAAAAACCAATATTTTAGAATTTTATGAAATTTTTGGAAAAATTTAAGATTTATAGGTACATGCAAACATATATGTACTTATGTAATTATGTACATATGCATATGTATTTAGATGGAGTCGTTGACTCGTAGACCTTTAGTCAAAACAAATTGAACTCACTGAATAAAATTGTCAGAAATGAGGCGCTCGTAAACATTATAAAAATTCCATACAATCCAAGTATATTCAAATGTATGTAAAACAGAACCGAAGGCCAACTCGCTTCACGCTTAACGCGCTGCGGGTAATCTTTTCCTGTGTCTGCTGTCGTCACAGTTTCTGGCTGATTCTGCTCTTGTTGTTCTTTCGTGTTGCCATCGTCAATGACAGTGCTTCGATTTACCATTTTAAAAGATGTTTTCTGAAAGGAAAAAATTAAATCGATTTCTACTTTCTAAAAATATTTGGGTCATCGACGACACTATTTTTCTCCAAATGTGTACAAAAAAAATTTCACTATATTTTGACAAAGCGGAAAGCTTTGTGTAAAAGTTCCGTCGTTTGCTTTCCTTGTAATTATTATTTGAGTAGTATTTTCAATCTATTTCTACAGAAAGTGCAGTCAAATTCGCCTAAGTTGATATAAAATAAATAGCCCAAGCAATTCTAGCGCTAGCACTGACCGAATGAATTAATATTATTCCTTTCTATTCCGTAAAACGTTAAAGTTGCCGAAATAGCTTTACTTTTGAGACAAATATGACTTAAAATAACTAAAACATTTAAATAAAAAGTGATGGAAATTGGCGAGTGAGTGTTTCGATCAACATCCAAAATTATAGAAAATTAATTTTACTAATTGCGGTCTCTGCCGAGAGGCGAGATTGTCAAGCCCTCCGAGTGTTTTTCTGACATGAAACAAAAGCTTCTCCTTAAAACTCATCGCTCGTTCGGAGGCGGCTTACAATAAACTGCGGGTCGGAGGACATAAAAATCGCTTCAGCCCCAATTATATGCTAATAATAAAAATTGTACACAATAATAATACCCCAAATATGTTTGGATAATACAACAACTGCCAATAGAAGCTATAAAACTCAACCAACACGCACAACTGTTCAGGATTTTTAGGTTATTCTTTGAGTTTCGAGTACAGAGTCGCTGACTATCAACACGTCCGATGCCACACACTTAACTGAATTAACTTTAATGTTTTAAAAACATAGAACTGTTTTACAACCTCACATACAATATATACAGAGGTCGACAAATATCCCTGCATAAACACAATAAATTCACCACTGAACAAAGTATAAATTTCCCTAAATAGAAAGTGTATGTAAATATGTAATTTTATTTTAATATAATTTTATTTGCTTAAGCCGAAAATATATATGTATGTATATACACAAACACTCACTTAAATATGCGTATGAATCAGAATAATTAGAAATCTATATTGAACTACGTACCCTTTAAAATAAACGGCTCCTATGTGCATATTTTTATACATAAGACTATACAAGTGTGTACGTAAGTGCAAACCTATATATGAGGGCAAATATCGCAAGCATTACAATGAAAATGCCAGTATTAAGTGGACACTTTTTATTTATATTTCTTTATTTAATCGCTTTGGTTGAATCTTGCAGAAAGTTGAACACTCTTACTTTCAAAAATATAAGAGCAAGTAGGTAAACTTTATATCTACATATGTAACTGTACATACACTATTTTAGTACACATTTCACTTACAAATATATTAATATTAAATACTGTATTAAAAACATAAACGCACACTATTCATTATAGGCACCACTTGTGATTAAAGCTTAAATTTATAATAATTAAATAACAAAAAACGAAAAACATCAAAGACACTTAAGCCTAATTAACACAAGAATTTGAACGAATGTGTAAGTTAATACGAAATATTGAAAAGCCTCAGTTTATGAATTTTTGTAGGTGTATACATGCATTTTACAGTTGTATGAGTATATGATTGTTTTTCTCATTGCATTTTCGCCAATTCAATCGCATCCTCTTTTTGTAAATCTCGATCTCCGTAACCCCATACTTGATCCTTGTGCGCGAATTCATCGCTCAGGAACCGACTGCCATCCCCGCACTTGGCTGCCCGACGTTTGATCATATCTGTAGAGACGTATTTTCCTAAAAAATTGAAAATAACGAATTAAATAGAAAGTCCCTCACTCTCTAAGGTAAAGCACACAATTCATTTAGTTTATAAACTGAATACACTGTTATTTATTTCTAGTTGCGAAAATAAATCCTATAAATATGACAACACGTAAAGCTCACATCAGCAAAAGCCATCTATAAATATTTATGTAATTATTATCATTGAAGTAATTATAATATCTATTTAATTGAATCAAGGAAAAGGGCAAGCGTAATAATGTGAATATATTTTTTTCGAATAAATTAAAAAACAACTTTTTCTTCATCATCAAAATTTATGATCTTCAATTTCCCGATATTCACATGGCTATGTATTATATATGTAGGTACATAAATGTATCGATGTTGATTAATTTAAAATTTGTAAATATTACTTGAAAATCTTCTTTTTTGTAATCTACAATAGTAGAAAAATATGAGTTCATTACTCGGACGCTGAAGCAATCAATGAAAAATAAAACTGTAAATTTTGAAATAAGTTAAGCGACGCAGACACTTCCTATGTGTGAAGCCTCATTTTGGTCAGAACATATTTAGAAAATATCATCGAATTATTGGCATTGTAAGGCCTTAAAGTTAGATTTAACATTAGATAGTTAGTAAGTTTGTTTATTGGAACTCACTTCCGGTGGCCCAGCCGATTTTCGCACATAAATCAATAAATGCGGTCGTTACATTCAATTTGTAGTTGCCAAACTCTCCGGTCTTGTAGTCCCATGGGAAAACGTGATGATAATTATGCCAACCCTCGCCTAAAGCTAAGAAGGACACCAGTGGGCTTTCAACTGGACTTATGTTTCTGTGAAAAATACATGAAATATTCAAATAAATAAAAATAAAATTTTCTTATAGAAATTTTACTCACTTATCATAGGGCTTTTTGCCCCACATATGAGCAACACTATTCACGAAAAATGCTGCATTCAACGTGCTGGTAAATCGCATATTAAAGTTAATCCAAAAGGATAACCACAAATTCTCATTCCAATAATACCAAGGCACCAAAACAGGCAAGGCAATAGAGAACAGCGTGAATAATGGAATATAATACTTGTGTTGGAACATTACCACACTGTCGTTCTCCAAATCGGACATGTCGATTATTTTGCGCTTCTCCATCACCTTGGGATGGGGCGTTAGGAAGAGCCAGCCGACATGCGAGAAGAAGAAGCCGCGTTTTGCATTGTGGGGATCGGCGTCCGTTTCAGAAAACTTGTGATGTATCCTGTGGTCCAAAGCCCACGTATAGGCATCACGCTGTAAAAAAAAAACACAAATACGAATTATTCATTTTCATTTGGTGAAATTTCGGTAAAATATGGGCCTTTACAAACCTGGCCTGCGATCGTGAAGAGAAATACCAGCAAAACTCGCAGCGGCATGGAGGCGGTGTACGACTTGTGAGACCAGAGGCGATGTGCTCCAGCGGTTATGCCTATGCCCGAGCACCAAATCGTGAGTACCACTAAAGTTAAATCATTAGAAATATTATAAAATATTAAAGTATTAATTAAATAATTTCAACAGAAATTAAAAATGTGAAATATATCAATATATTCGCGTGTTAAAATGTTCGTATGTATCTATGTATGTATGAATGAATGTAGAAGTTTTAAACTCAAGAAAAAATTTTAATTTACGTACTTGCACACACGAACATACATATCAATGTAAATAACATAAATACATACATACATATGTGCATATGTGTTAATTTGAACAGTATTGACTGATTGTCAAGTAATGAACACAATTTAAGCTCTGAGTGGATGCTGCCACATTCTTACGTGTTGAGCCGATGGCCGGCAGGCTGGTTAGTTCACTATGTACACAATGTACTCTTTACTTCATGTACGCCTCTGTACTTATGTACGAATAGGTACATAGCATGTGCTTGTACATATGAGCACGAGCCAATTATTCTTCGCAATCAATTGCATTGAGCGAAGTTCACTTTATATTGTGATCCAATATTCAATTAAAAGGACTAATGAAAGAAAATACATAACATACATACATATGTATAAATATAGGTACATATGTATGTAGACATTGAATCACAGTGAATCACAGTACTATAAATACGTAAGTAATTAGAAGCCATTTTTAAAACAGATATTTTAAAAAACAGTATAATGAAAAAATAGGCCTAAGGTACCAAGGCAGGTATAATGCTGCAACTACCCACTTTACATACCTCACAGTTGTAACACTCGAATGAAAGATCGATATACATACGAGAGTTATCGACGCTGTTTGCATACTTTTGAACAAATTTATAATTTTCGTCAACAAATTCCGTAATTTATGTGTTCGAATAAAACCGACAATCAAATATATCTACAGCATCTATATGGTAATTAAAAATTAATTACGAATTCAGTTTTCATTTATTTTTAAAAAAAACTACGCATTTCTTAGTTTATTTAATATTCATTTAAAATGTCAACACTGGTAACCTTGTATAACAGCGGTATTACGGAGAAAATCAAATTGCAGCTGGTTTCTGCGGGACAACCGTCAGTAACGGCATCGACAAACGATGACAACTTTTCATTTACATGGCGCTCTCATAAAAAAGGTTGCTATGGACGGAGCCTCTGTATGGCTGAGTGGCTGTAGCATAACATTCAATATTCTTAGAGTAAACGATATTTAGCGAACCGCAAAGTCTTCCATAAAACGGTACTGACTTTTCTATAGAGTTGATTGTAAACTTAAATAATTTTCCTGAGTCATTTGAAAATAAGACTTCAGACCCTGGCCCACTTGCTTTCCTATGAGAACTTGTCTACACAAAATAGGAATATACAAGAACACGTGAAGTGGGACCAAAGTAGCTTTGCTTTAAGAACTTGAAGTACTGAAAAGTTCGAACTGATTTAAGTTCCATCGGCAGCAGATAGTAACCACCGCTGCCGCTTTGGCCGAAGTGTATTAAAGGCACATTCGGTCATACATTTGACTGAAAGTTATTATTTTTTGGTGCATTTGTGTAGCATACAAACATACATATAAACGTATGTACATATAAACGTATGCATGCATGCATAATTTCTTAAAGGGCACATGCATAAATGAATATGTTGTCATATATGTTTATCTGCGTATGTACTCGTACATACGTGTACGTAAGTAAGAATCGTAAAGCTAACCAAACATCACGTTTATCACATTTTTAACATCACATACAATCGGTACGGCATGGAGTGTGAAGAAAACAAATATCAGATATAAATTATCGAAAAACTTTAAGAGACAAAGTGGTTTTAACACCTCAAAGGAAAGTAAATATGTACATATGGAGCATTCCAAGGCAAATTTTTAAATAGGAAAAACGCAATTCGTCCATATTATTATTTCGGCGCGCTTGCCTTGTACGTTGGTATGTTGGTATGTTTATCGGCACATAAATATTTATGTAAACACTTCGGGCATTTCATATTTATGCAAATAGTGGGCAACAAAATCATTTTCGTTATTATTTCACTTAGAATTTTTTTTGCTTACCCCACAAAAGCGTGTAAAATTTCGCTTGGAATAGCAAATAAACTCCGTAGAGGGCACCACCATGCAGAAACACTTGGGCTATTAAATCTAGCCATCTGATTTGTGGATTGTATTCAATTTCACTGGACGCTTTGTAATCGGGAATACCGCTAGTTTCGCTCGCAATCGGGATTTCTTTGTAGACAGCGTTTTCCTCCTTATAACCTAAGTTTTCAATTACATCTATGGGCTCATCTTCAGCTTCGCTTGCAACAAATTGGACGTTATTGTTGATTGTGCACAATCTGTTTCTGATGCAGACATCGGTCGCATTGTTGGTGTCATCGCAGTGCTGTCTTTCTGTGTTTAGCGTACACTTTCCATTTATGTTATTGTTGTTGTTATTGCTGTTGTTGCTCAAACAATTGCCGGTGGCGTTGCAAGTTGTTGCATTTGTACTTGTACTGCTGCTTGCAGCGGTGGCAACGGGTGTCGAAAGGCACATCTCGAGTATATCTTGTTGTTGAGAATATCCTTAATGTCTCTTACGGAAATCACTTTCGGTACGTTAGCTGAAATTGAAATTGGGAAAGGACTATTAGCATTCGGCTTCTGCATTTCCGTTTACCGGCAAGATTTGAAATTTGTTATAATTAAAATTCTACCACCCGAATTGAAGTGAGAATGGCCAGATTATGTAAAAACAATTTTTTTTGCTTAAAATAACTGTATTTCACTGAAATAATTTATCGGATGCAATTTTCAAATTTTTTTTTTAAATTTTGCACGAGTTCTAGGTACCGCAGAGTAGGCACGACTTACGATGAGTCAGGCACCTAAATATATACATACATAGTTATACATTTCAACATTTATATATAAGAAACCCATACATATGTATTATAACTGGATAAAAGGTTGAAAAAGTAAGTGAATAATCTTGAATACTATAGTTTTGAAAGAAGTTAACATTTTTTGAAATACAATACAATTATATAATATATAATATACACGTATATATAGTATAAGGCTTTGTGAGGGATCGAGCCACAGCCTAAACAACTGATTGTACCTAATTGAAACTAGGAGGGTTAATTCTGTGTATAACGTCATAACGACATCCCTTGAGAACGGATTTTCCGATTTTCTTCCGAGAAGTCGATCCAGGACTAATCTATCAATTTCCTTTTTTCTTCCGGTAAGTATCGCATTAGCATTAATGGTTTGGGTTTGTGTAATATGTGAAACGTGTGTAGGTAGCTCTTTGCTTAGGTTAAAGTGCGAAGAACTTTTCTACCTGGAAGTGGAAACAGTGCCGATATACTCGTATTCGGAAAAATCATATCATATAATGAATTGTTTGGATATTGCTACTTTCAGGGTTTCCAGCCGATCAGATAAAGTAAAAAATTATACTTTGCAATTTTCTTTAATAATTAATTATTGACCATTGATGAACTACGAGTTTGATAAGAAACGAATTCACGTAATCAAATACGGTCACCAGCAGTGGTAGATACAAACACACACATACACACACACACATATTCATTTGACAGCGATTTGTTTGAATATTTGGCTGAAAGCATAACCTGTGATAAACACAAATTTACGACTAAGCATTATAACCAGATAAGATTTCTTCACCTATTTTTTTTCTAACATTAACTCTTTGCATTAAAGGTTCAAAGACACATTACTCGTATATAAGTATAGGAGTATATGTACATATGTGTATTATTTGATTTCTCTTATCGCACCGTTACTTGTTTCCGCATACGTCTCATTGGAAATATACAAACATTTATAAATGTTTACAATCAAATCGGTTTGTATCCCTTCTTCGCACAGGTGTTCAATGAATCATTAAAGTTCTCAGTATTTGTACTGGAGCAGCTCCTAAACAAGATAAGAAAACCATTATCTGCACTAATATTTGTACACTCGATCCGGAATATTCAACTACTACCGCTGATTGTTTGGTCTACTCCCTTCTACAAAAAGATTCAAGCACTCAACGAAACATACATATCTGAAATTGGAATGCGAAAAGTGGGGTGTGTTGTTAGCGATTTGTTCTTATTGCCCATGGAGAACTTTCTATTTCGAACTGCTCAATGAGCAGCGAGTTGGTAGGATTTCATGCTTTAAATTCTAGTTCAAGCTACTCAAATCAAATTAAATCCTTGTATTAATCTTAACTGTTCACAGTCATGTTGGAAAGTAGAACAGCAGTGTTTTCACATATTGACAGCTTGCTTCTGAATCCTATTTCCACAACTCCGTGCCCTTCCAGGAAAGGTCTATCAAACAAATATATATAATATAATTATATTTCAAAATGGGTAATATGAACAAAATTTTTGTTTGTATGTATGTACGTAAGTACATATTTGGAATTTGTTTCGAATATATTCATTATGTTGTAGGCTTTATACGCCCATGGGTATGTATTATGTACGTGTATGTTTACTCATATAAGTAGGTTATAAGTGTAAACATTTTATTGTCAATATTACGAAATGTTTGAAAATGCTTACAAATACGTTCATACATCCACACATAATATTATATTCTGCTGGCAAATTTATTGTTTTCATATTTTCTAAATCGATTTTCAAACAAAAACGGTTCACAGCCGTCATTCTGTGCCAGCGATTCAAAAATTGCTGTCAAAATTTCAATTCGCTGCACTCTGTAAATAATTGCATTCATGGAAAACATACATATATGGCGTATGATGAGTGTCGCTGAGCATTTTGAAGAGCATTTTATACTTTCGGCGTGAGAAGCTTGTACGTATGTGCATACATATTTACGCCACGTGCTCGATGTGTTGAAACATATTAATTATATTAAAGTCACATTCTTACTAATTACCCCCGCGTAGGTCTGTTTTGCATAAATTTTCGACAGAGAGCAGTTGCAAACTTCAAATGAGTATATAACTCCAAACCTATTACTAGCTAAATGGGAAAGATCCACCTAATAGAAAAGGAATGCGAAAAATTTCCAACATATAGACAAACTGAATGCGAAGGTGATGGCAATACAATTTCGTTGTAACTCGAGTTAGGCGTTTATGATTGGTGAACACGGAATCGGAGCGATGAATTATTAATCTATAGAAATAATAACAACTGCCAACATCGACGTCTGTGAAATTCGGTGGGTCAATATTTCCACTTTGGGTCGATCTCGTGTTCAGAATGACATGAACCTGAATGTATGTATGTACAACCACATGTAATTATTTGATTAACATCAGCAGATAGCACGTTTTTACACTTTCATATGTACATATATGAGTATATATTAGTATTCACATTTCTATATAACAGTTACATACATACATGGGCATAGCATTTTGGTGTTGGCAAGTAGCACATACAGACACATATAAATATTTATTATTAATGCAAAGGAAAACGAACATAACATAAAATACTCTAACCATACACTCGAACATTTGATTGACAATGTTTATAAATTAATTAAGAAAGTAGTTAAATATATAATTCACTCCTCACCGCGCTTAAGCTTTAAGCTTTACTCTTAAATTATATTTACCGTCACACCAAAATGACATCATTGCTTACAGCAAATTGTAAGAGTGCAAAAAAAAAAAAATAATTTGCATTTAATTCATTCATTGGCTCCAGTTCTCTTCGAGTTGATTTGGTTTGCCACAATCCAACATAAGCTCACACTCATTTGTGTACATACATATTTACATTTTGACATCTCCAACGCCCTTTCTAAGGCTGGGAGTTAGAATACGAGTTAGCTTCTAATTACAGGCTGTCGAATACATACATACTTGCACATATTTATTGTATTTCAACTATCGGCCAAAATAAAGTTTAAGATTAATGACAACGCCAACAAGATCAACCTTCGGCCACTCATCAATACTGAGGCATAGTTGTAAAGCAAGGTCAAACATGGGCTTGTTACAACAGAAATGGTGTTTTTACAAACATACAGACAAATATTAGAGTAAAAACTTAAAAAAGTGAACTAACGAGAAATATACTGTTGAGATATCGGAGTAGTAACAACTAATTTATTTTATTATGTTCTCATCAGTTATTTGTATTGTGTGTATGTATGTATGCATATACACATCAACGCATCCACCATACATACGTTCACTTTTTTATGTATTCATAGTTAAGAAAATAGTTGCTATAACAGAGTTATGTATACATGTATGAATGTGTATATTATGTAAATTTCTGAACACCATAAACACTTTGAAGAATATTTAACAAAAAAAAAAAGAGCACTTGGGGTCAATTGGTACAGAGTCATATTAGAAGTATGTGTTATATATTATTAATAAGTGTACATATATTCGTTTTTCTACATTTGTGCATATGTATATGGGCATTTCCATAGGAAAGTCCACCTTGATCGGAAAGCTCTATGAACCATATTTCTAATAATGATAATACCAAAAGCGAATGCATTAGCTTCTACCCGCATACTTGAATTAAATGGCAAACAAAATAACAAAAATAAAATACAAAAACCATACAAAATGATTTCCTAAATATACAAAAAATATCAAATTTAGCACTTTTTAAGTAAGAATTCCCATTTTAAATTTATATAATATTATGTATTTTTAATTAATCTACTTCCTTATAAAAGTACTTAATATTTTTTGTATTAAAAAGATCCAACAGTACGTCGGATTGGAAACGCCCCTATATAACCAAATGTATATATAAAATGTACAAATGTATTGTACATATATATAATATATGCAAGACTACCAAATGATATCATTACTATGAATACAGAAAAAGGCAATATTTTTATTTCAAAACTACACATTTCCTACATACGTACGACATGTTTTGTAGTGAAAAATCATAATGAGAATATTTGCTGCTGAATCGTTTAATTTCATTGCGTTGCGTATACGACATAGCTTCCCGGAGGAGAGTTAAGAATTTAGGGAATTTAAAAATGGACTTATGTACTTTTAACTAGAATAGCAGCGGTTCCTGGCTAACATTCAGTTATTAAACCTTTCATATTGTAATTGTTACATTCGCCTAGGTTGACCAGTTTTTCGAACAAATTTACTTATAATAACTTGGAAATTTTTAACTCCCAACTTTATAAAATATCAGTCATGTATGCATATAAACATTTTCAATATTTATATTAGTTACCATTTACTATTTTTATGAATAAACTGAAAAATTAAAATTATTTATCTTGATTTGAACTGCAGCTTGATTGACTATGAAGGAATAAAATTTATAGCGCATTTTTAGATGCGCACATAGCTTACGTCGCCACAAACACACATTCCCCACCATTTGTTCTATAGTGCTTTATTTTAATTTATTTTATTTTTTATATAATTGAATAATTATATATGTAGATAATAAACTGCACAAATATTTAAATTTTCTACGAACTTTGCGTTTACAAACTGCCTGCTTACGGATTTACCGACATAAATAAATATCTCCCACAAAATATTGAATTTTTTCTTCGAAACTAATTAATATTTTCTTTTCACCTTTTTGAAACCACTAGCAGCATATGTGGATTCCGGTCCAAACACTCCAAGCACCACAAAAAAAGCAAAATATTAAGTTTTTTTTATTAATAATCGAACAAACGCGTGCCGCTAACGAACGTGTGCGTCTCAACAAACCGAACTTCCCTCAATGACTGAATGAGTGGCGACCGGCTCCACTAACTCATAAATACGTACAACTATATATACAATTCAATGGGCGCATACCTCGACTCGCCGCCAGCACCCACACTAGTGTAATCGCACACACATTAACATATATATTCGTATAAACCTACAATCTATTGTATTTACAAACATAAAAATAAATTAGTAGATAAGTAATTGTATTTGTTTGTAGGTATGTATATATGTATATAAACTTGTACGCCGTCAAAGAAATGCGACCGAGAACGTGAGTAGGTTAGTAGTGGAGTAATCGTGGAGCGTAATGGAGCGCCAGCACCCCAAGTGGCTGCGGAGCAATGTCACTCACTATTACTGTTTGTACTGTTGGTTTTGTTTATTGTGGTACTTTTTTCCATTAACCACTCAGTGTGTGAGTGTGCGAGTGTGCGTAATGTTTGTACGAGCTCTTGTTCTTTTATTTATTTACTATTTCGTACTGACGCGCCAATATCGCGCACAACTCCCACACACCCCTTCTTTAGTGCAGCTCTGATGACGGGTCGCGTCGCGTCGCGACGTGGCGAAAAATGTGTCACCGCACTTGACCAAGCAGCCGCCTCGGACTTAACTATGTACATTTGTATGAATGAAGTTTATAGTTCAAAGTCAATGCCCAACGTTTTAAGCCCAATGTTGGGTATGCGAAAAGCTCGTACTTAAATTAATAATAGGGATTTGAAGAGAAACCAGAACAAACAATGGAATAATGTAATGAACGAAAACAAAATTATTGCATATTGACCACAGAGGCCGAGTGTTTATAGTTCATGAAATCATGCGGAGGGTCATGGGCTCAAATCCTAGGTAGAGCAACAATCGAGACTAAAGGAAAAGGTGTTCAAAAAGTGGCCGTAATGCCAATCATAATTAGAAAAATTATATGTCCCTCCATTTGTAGAAAACATCAAGGGAAACATCGCAAACTAAAGGAGGAGCTTGGCCGAAAATTGCGCAAGCGGTTACAAAGTGTCATATATGTATGTACATTTACCTCTGTTCATATGTACATTAGCATTACATTCATATAGGTATTGCATGTTACGTATGTATGTATGTATGTAGATTTATAGTTGTTGGGGGGGCGTTTGAATTGAATCGGTTTTTTTGGATACTCGTTGTTGGCTTAGCATCACCAACTTATACATATTATATACATGTTACATACATATTTGTTTACATATCAACATACAAAGAGCGCGTATAAGACAAAATCGGCAAAAGCAATTTGACTGTATTCGCTACCCTCCCCTCTCATTTCATTTTCTTTTCAGTTTGTGCTTCTATTAAAATTTTAATGCTGACAGTGAGATTCCATGCTATTTTTGTTGTTGTCTTGGTAGCAATCGTTGCCGGTAGATAATATGGAGACAGTCAACAACAATCTCAGTAGGTCTCATGCTGACTGAAGCTGTGGAATATGTTGGCATTTTAAGATATCACTTTGGATTTCGTCATCGTTCATACTACAATAGAAAGATGCGTATTTTAGAAGTCATATACTCGTACATATTATATACAATATATACGTAGATGTGTGTGTAGGCATACATATGTAATGTCTATAAGTATTAGCTAATAAGCACACGCATGTATGTATGTAAAAATCTGATTTTGTGTAATTCCGGAAAATGTATAGAATTATTTCATAATAACAAACTTAGTCAAAATTATCTAAATAAATAAAGTAAGATTTTTGGATTCGGGACGGTTTAGTTATTCATAAAACCTTTTTATACCAGACTTTGCTGAGGCCAAAGTGAGTCGAAATCTACTATTTCTATTTTTATTTCACACCTTCTGGGTTGGCACAGAAACTGAGCATATTTTTGATTAGAAACAATTTGAATATTTATTTTGAAATTTTCTTTCGACCGATAATCCATTTCCCAATTATAGGGATTTTAGTTTAACTCTTCATGTGTGCCATATTTGTAATCTGCAAATTGTGATTGGAAAAAAGAAAGTTTAAGACACTCTTCGTACACACTTGTTTATATTGTTTGCATAAAGGAGTCGCATTGTAGTTCTTTGATTGCCATATTTGTTGATTTTCTCCTTCTGAATCTTTTATAAAAAAAAAAACAAAGCGAAATGAATTTCGTTTTTGAGTGAAAAATGCGGTTAAATTAAATTAATACGAATCAGTAATTTAGTAATATTACTATTTTTATTTATTAAACAATTTCGTACCATACAGGAAAATGATTGGAAAAATGATATCAACATTATTCATTAAAGTCGAATACATATACAAATTCTAGGCAAAATTGTGGTTAAATATATGAAAGACTGTCTTTAAGTTTCTCTGTATTTAAAAGGACCACTTCTGTCTCATGCACTATTACTGCAAAACCCAAAATGAGTAGAGGTTCTTTTTCACCATCATATATATATGTATATATAAATAGTTCATACATTCATCGTTAGATCGTATGGTTTGTAAACCGTTGCTAGTACGCAAAGGCATGGTTGGCACTTCTTGTATGGTGGCTGCAGGACGGAAGTGATGAGCTTCTTGTAGAGTTTTTGCTCGCCAAGAGAGAACTTTGCTTTACAATTGCACAAAGTAGCAGCTGCCGTAAGCATCGATTTTGGATTGGATTGGATTTCAGGGCTGACATTATTGATCATTATTGATGTTGATTCTGGTTCCTAGAGAGAGAAGAATTACGACTGCCAACAGTGATGTGAGAGGCAAGATATAAATGGGGTAACGGTTTGATTGAAGATATCTGTATGATGACACGAGATATTTCGTCTCCCACTTGTCACAGGAAAAAGAGTCACTTTGTCTGAAACTTTTACGGCTTCGACGATTTTAAGGCTCTAGTGTAGACAGTTGCAATGGAGCTACCTTCATGAGTAATTGTTTGATATGTTCACCGAGTGCTAAGGTGAAACCAATTTAAACTGGTGCAGGTACATCTGTATGAGTTTGTGTGCGCATAGAGTAATATGCACAGTACGAGTTCCTATCTAAAAAATGTCGCTTTGTTCAGTTATTGCTACATGGATAGTACTTTATATAATCGTTGATAACAGTTTGGCAGTGAGTCAAGTTATTGGTCGGCTGAACTGATCGTTGAACGTGTGTGCGTACTTAAATCAAACAAGTGGTAATATTTATAACACTGTTAAGGCCGGCAGATGTTTTCGATATATATATGTATGAATGTGAATAAAGCATATATATATTGTGTATGTATTTGCCCCTCGCCCCGTGTGAATGATATGGCATACTAAGAATGATATAACTTATATACTTATTGTATGTACATTGATAAATAAGTAAAAGCATGTACATGACCGCAATATACATGCACATGTGTAGCTACTTACATATATAAGCACATACATATATGTTCTTCACACGCAATGCTGTTCAGGCGCATCGGTTAAAGTTTTCTGAAATCACTTTGCAGATAACAGTACTCATGTGAATAAATCATACATACCTAGAAGTATATGTACAAAAACATTGTTAACACAGCTGCAAGCTCTTTAGATAAGCATTCATTTGCTGATAAGAAGCGACAGCCTATAGTTTTTAGTTAATTTGTCAGTAACACTACTTATGCCGCCAAAGGATTCCCCCATTGAACACACGAGTATTATTATATATTACATTAGTATACTAAGCATAAGAAAATCCCAAACCCAACTACAGCAGGTGACTCATTCATAATTGAAAAAAAGGATTATTCGAATAATCACAATTGACAACTTTGTCGTAATGTTTGACATAAAAAATTCATCTCAGGAAAAATTGAGTTCAGCTCACCTAGGCACGTGACCTTCTTCCGTTCCATTCTGGCCATATTGTCTTGGCCGTATTACATGAACAACTCTATTCCATGACGTCGAAAGTGGAAGAGAAGTGGCCGTTCATTTCAAGCTCGTCCGCCATCTCATATCTCGGTATGTTACCCGAATCAGGTGCGAAGCGAACTGCTTAGCCATCACTTTAAGTGATCTACGGCAGTCCTCTACGGTTATAGATTTCATTGTTACTGACAACGAGAAAATATGGGTACGATTATCGTCATTGAGCTAAGACAATTGACAGCCTCATGTATGGCCACCAATTCCGCGTGAAAAACACTACTGCTCCAAAGGTTTCTATCCGGGATAACTACCTTGAAATCTGTCATGTAGTCAGCGAATGATATGCAGTAATCCGTTTTTTCTGGACTCGTTTTGTAGCCTTACCGCGGCGCAAGCAGCATTGTGCAGCCCGATTATGTCAATGAGGAGTAGATCTAAGAGAACATTTATAACATCAGTTGGTGTGGTACGAAATACTCCGCTGATGCACAAGAGCGCTGCCCCGTGTACTATATCGTATTTGCAGATAGTTGCAGCAACACTGCATCGATGAATCTACTTCTACAGTATCAGATTCGAATTTTCAGTCTTTTCATCTGGTCGGAAATTAAGTTTTCAAAGATGTTGCAGGTCGATCTCTTTTCAAATACTTTGTGATTTATCTCTACTTTGATTCACATATTTTAATATTTGATTTTTGTTTTCAATCTTTTGAACTAAAACATTCAAGCAGCTTTCCCTTATCTCTTCTGTTTGATACCCGCAATGTAATATCACATTTATTTTATCAATTCATTTAAATCTAAATTTTAAACACCCAATAATAACAAAATATATTTATATATAAATTATTCTCGAGTTCTTTTAAACACACACACACACACACATGATTCTATCATAATCGGTGAGATGTTTTGGAGAACTTTAGTGACAAGCACACGTCCAAAATATAAGGTTATCCGTTTCGTGGTTTCAAAAGTACAGGGCTATATTTTGACATCAGACAAACTTAACTGTGAAACATAAATTGTTTTTATATCTCTAAAAGTCAAGAGTTTATTAAAGTGGATCGCTTAACAACCGCGTTAAAGCAGTTAACAGCTACTACAAAAATTGTTTTTCAAACATGTCCACGTTCAGTTTCGTGCGTTAAGAGAAAGTTTTGGTGCCCACAAACGTCTCAAGCAATTGGTAAAATTTTAAATAAATTTGAAGAGACTGGATCGATTATGTAAATATTATAACGCCTGTAGCTGACAGTATGTGGTTTCTACAATATGGTACCAGATACCACACAACAAGAGCCAACATGACATTCTTGCGAGATAAATTCCGTGGCCGCGTAATGTCTCGACAGCGAACCTTTAACTCTTTAGCACTTGAAAACCAACATACGTCAAGTTGTAGCCAAGATAACGCCTAATATGTACCAAATAGTGGTCGAATATTATCTCAAACGAATGCCCAGATCCAAACTTAATAATGAAAAATGATTTCATTAAATGCATTTTATTTACGTTTATTTTCGAGACGGCAAAATCGATTGCCCTGAATTTCTATATATTGTATATATATGTATATATTTAGATGCATATCGATATATATGTATATATATATATATATATTTATATATGTGATGTAACTCTCCGTTTTCCTAAATTTGAAGTTTTATATACCATACATGTTGAATAATTCTAGGTAAATTGAATGCAACCACCTTATAAACCACCTGCATAAGAAAAATAAAAAATACTTCCAAGCAATATAAAATACTTTTTTTAAGTAATAAACACAGATCACCTAGACTGCGGCTATCAATGGACATTCGGACGAGGTGAGTGAACACCAGGTAAGTCCAGTTATCGCACGGTCCACTTAGCAAGTTATCCCTTGAAACTATGTTTGCTTCAGTGAATGAAAACCAGATAACAAGAGCTGGTGAACAGAGATAAAAATTTGGAAAATAAAATAAGTACGAACATGTACTTACATATGTGTATGTATGCACATGTGAGTAGTACCTACAATAAATATAAAACATTTAGTATGTCCATAAAAACGAATATTATTGTAATGCATAAATGGGCAATGGAAAATCCACCAATGACATTGCATAGAAAATTGCAAGCGTCCCTCCTGTAGTATTTCGTCAAAACAGTTAATAAAGAGTGTAAAAATATTTTAGACTATCGATTTTGCTACGAAATGCTGGGACATAAATCTCATGCCATTCGGAAGGCTCTGGTTGAAATTATGGTACGGCTAACATCCAAAACTTATAAGAAATTAATTTAAAAAAGCCCTCTGAGTGTATTCTGAAATGAGATAAAAGCTCCTCATAAAAAACCATCAGGTGGTATAAACTGTACATACCATAAATTGGGAAACCGCCAAATATATATGTAAGTTACAATATAAAGTTTTTTATTAGAATATTGAGCTAGGTACATATTTCGCGCTATATCAAGATTCTCCCGTTTATTTGTCATTTGCATGCTTAAAATATTACTCAAAGTATAATAAACTATTTATTAAATGCTATCCATAAAATGATTATAATTATTTTATTCACCCGAAGAAAACTATAAAGCTTTGCTCTGCTCTCCTTCCTCGGCTACGTGGCTATAGCGTAGCTATTCGGCGAACACCCCTTCCTACCGTGGGTCTTGGTCGTACTACATACGAGGTTTATGGAGGCTCCCATACGAGAATAGCAATGGAATTTTTAAATTAGTTTGAGAACGCTTTCGCTTGATCACCCTACAACGTGTATTCACAGGGGCCACAGTATGGTTCTAACTTAAAAATTGCTTGCCACCTCAATTAAACTATATTTTCTAAATCTATTTATGTTCTTTGCCGCTTACTTTGGGCCAAATAATGTTTTGTAAGTTTTACACGCTGGTATTATTTTACCTGAACATTGAGTATGTAGGGTCAATGTATTCAGAACATTATTCACAATTAAATACACATTAGAGAAATTAAAGAATGGTAATATTTACATACGTGTACCTGTGTAAATATATATTTAATATTGACATTTCGTACCCATACTATATTTTAGAAATCCCCTAGGCCTCTTGCTGAGTGCACTCTGGATTGTACAATGCCTTCAATGCCACTCTATAAACCGATCCGAATCAGGACGAGAGCAATGTAGGCAAACTATGTAGGAAGTGGACGCCGAATGGTGCAGACGAAAGCTGACTGAAGCGATAAAATCGGTTTGGGACTGGTTTTCAGCGCGGACTTTGCATTGTAGTACACATTGGGCTGTTTTTCAGGATTGACGATTTCGTGACTTTACTTAAATTTATTAATTTATTTTTTTAAGTTAATTTTTAAAGCTGTATCGTGAATCCATTACTAAATTTTTATCGTCGCCGTTCGAAATCACTCTGCTATTACATATCCATTTCTCCCTATTATGGTTCGCGTCGTGTTCGTTTTTCAGTTGACATCACATAGTGTCAGTCGTTTTGAATATACATATACATATTATAATTCTTGTCTTAAAAAGTAAATAAGTATACTTGAACGACGACGCCGTTAGTAGCAAATAACGGCAATATCAATATTTTCAAATAATCAATTTGTGCCAACGACACCAACTGCAATGGGGGCGATTGGTTGATCCTCCCTTTCATAAAAGCAGTTACCCACTGCTGGTTGCTCTTGTTGATCGGTGGTTTGGCCAGCTTGCTGAGACACAAATAATAACCACAAACTAAACTTAAAGAAGAGTAAGCCAACTACACGAAATAAATGTATGCGAAAATAAAATGTTTTGATTTTTAATTTTATTTAGAAATTTTTTATTATTTACTTTCTTCCAAATACGTTGTAGGAAGCGTATTATTTGAAGAATTTTTTTTAACATTCCCCCTATTTTCCATCGAAAATAAAATTAAACACTCAAGAAGTTATCTGGGAATTCGAAAGTGACATCCCGACCGGTGAGCTTCTTGTACACAGAGGTGAAGGTATCAACCTGAAAGAGAAAAAAAAAACATAAATTCAGTATTTTGCTTAAAGATTTAACTAAACTTGAATTAAATTAGCGCGTTAGAATGTCAGCATCGACAGACCATTGTTGCTGTAATTATTACAGCAACTTTTTTAGTGCAATGCTGTTTTTTTCCCGCCTAAGTAGGAAGTCCCAAATCGTCACGTATTTGAAAAAAGACGAATGGGAGGCAAAACGGCGGATACTAAATTACTTGCAATAATAAATTTATAGTACTGTAAGTATCTTAAAAAGCCTTAACTTTTTTATAAAAGCCAGGCATTATAATAAATAAACTACTTTAATATGATATCCGTTCTTTTTGACAATCATTGATACTAATTAATAATCAACAAATAACACAAGAACGTTTACACAACCCCAAGAGAGTTTAAATTTTAATTGCAAAATATAATAACTTTACTGTTTCTAAAGTATGGAGAAGTCTTAGCGCCGAAAAAGCTGTTTTAAGACTATAACGAGGCTTTAGAATTTATTTACGTCCTGTTTGACAATCACTGATCTTGGTAAATCAATCAGCAAACAACACAAAGACGTGAGTAGTTCTTTCAAACTTTTTTGTTCTTTTAGTTAATACCTCAATATAGATTATATTGTATCCAGTGTATGGAAATGTCTTGAAGTCGAGAATACGATTAAAAGACAATAACGACACATTGGAAGTTTATGTGTGTCCCTTTTGACAATCACTGATCTTAATATATCAATCAGCAAATAACACAGGGACTAAAAAATATTACAATTTTTTTCGCTATATCAACTTACTTTGTGTTCAATGGTTGTTTGTTGGTTCTTGTCCAAATGAACCTTGATCAACTGTGCTCCATCAAGTTTAACGCGGATGCGCTTGCCGACGATTTCTGCGGGGAAGACCAAATCTTCCAAAATTGCGTCGTACACTGCGGTAAGAGTACGAGAGCGTGGACGCTTTTGCTTCAATGGATTTCTGGCCTTGCGGGTTGGTTTGGGCAGAATTTTGCGTTCACCAATCACAACGACGTGTTTGCCAGAGAATTTCTTCTCCAATTCACGAACTAAAATGATTTGAATCTTTTGGAACGTCTTCTGTTGTGGGATCGGAACGTAGATGATGACAGCCTAAAATTTGCCATAAAAGCGATATCTAAGTACCTTTGTCACTCACTTTTCAAAAATAATTTACCTTTTTGCTGCCGAACTCAATCTCACGTGCACGAGTGATGTGCAAATCCCTCAAATAGGGTTTCAGGTCACTGTTGGCCTCCAGCTCCAAAAGAGCTTGAGCAATGGACTTTTCAAAGTCATCTGGTTCAGCGCCACCGGGCTTGATAATCTTGTTGCCGATCATCTGTGAGAAACAACATATGTTTAATTAATTAAACAAAACTAAACTATGGGTGTTTAGATTTGCCAACATCCACAAAACTAAAACACCCGGAAAAAAACTAATGTAACAGCTTTCGACCGGCGTACATTTTATCACTGCACATCCTCGTCACTGTATACATTTGTGGAATAGAAATAATAGCATCGCGTGTAAATTTGAATGCAACACAATCATTTTGAAAGATTTTTGAGAATTGCACTTGTATTACTTGATAAATTATAAAAATGAAGGAATATCTGAGGAAAGTACACCAACCTTGGTCAATTGTTTTGACAGGAAAGGAAGTGAGGCAGCCAACACACTCGCCACTGAACGGTAAGTGCCGTCAATTTATTGCAACGAGTGGCTCTCAGCGAGTTTACTGTCAAATTCAAGCGAGTGTGTAATAAGCGATTCAAAGGCCACTAATGAACAAGAGATGTCGCCAAGCAGATGCTGAGTGCAAAATGCTTTTTCATCAACTTCATGTAATAATTTCTAATCTTATAAAACTCTCTGCAAATCATATTATACTAGATATTGATCAAGAAATTGTCGAAAAGGCATAAGTGTCTTCAATATTAAATTCGGATTGACTAGTATTGTTTTGACTTTACCCAAAAATATGCACTAATTTTTATGGAATTTTCCTAGTTATAATTTGTTTAAACTTCGAAATTGATTCTACAATTTAAATTGCTAATACTAAAAATTATCTATGTACAATATTATATGTAATTAATATAAGATCTATAATTGTTTTATTTCCACTTAAACACTTAAAAAAAGTTTGTCATAAGTTTTAATTCAGCAGCCTGCAATCCAGCAATATTTAATTGCGCTGCTAGGGAAGGACAAAGATCTTGACGGGATTTATATATTAAACACTGCTACGCAGCATATTCCATGATTAATAGGAGTACTGCACTTTTTTACGTATAGTAAAAACAGATTCTTTATGAAGCCTTCTATATTTATACCTAGAATTATCATATTTATGTCAATAAGATTCATTATGCCTCTCTCATAGAATCCCTTGTCTCTATTGGCAAAGAAATTGGGGCAATCGTAGTCAATTTTTCACCAGCCAAATCATTCGTCAGAGATTGGAACACATGGTAATCACTTGTTGCGAGGTCAATATCGATGCGTTGTGCTGATGAAACACAATTCCCTCAATTCCCACAATTGCTGACAGTACAGGCTTGAATTAGAGTAGTTGTCAATTGGGTTGGAGCCCTTTTGCGCCGGCTCACTGACGTTTAGAAATGGGTCGATTTTTTTACGCTTCAGCAGAGATTGGTAGATGGAAAATGAGGATTTTCTCGCTGGCTCATGTGGCACCCTAACATCGAGCTTCTTTGTGCATCTAGACCTTTTCAAAGTGGTTCTTAAATATTTTTGTGAAAAGTTTGGCTCCTGGGCAATCGAAGCAGTGCTCGCAAGCCGATGTTACTTTTGTTGTTGTTGTTTTAGTGACTCGCGACCCCATTTTAATCAATCAAAGTCATCAAGGTCAGCTAACAGGAGGTCCAGGAACTTACTGTTTCGACGGGATCGGGCCAGAGGCAGAGGGGGGTTAGATGCGTCTGTTTCACAGGGCATGTAAAGAGGTGGTTAGTGTCGTGCGCAGACTCTCTACTGCAGGACATACTTTGGATATGTTGGGATCGAGTCTGGATAAGTAGGAGTTTACCGTATCCAAACCTAAGTGGCACTAGTATCACGGGTGTCTCGACGCAGCTCGAATTCTTCTTCTGCTATGGGAGGTGCTTTAACTCCGAGTACGCCATTCACGGGAAAGAAGTCTTTCAAGATGTTAACTGTTTTCTGGTGAATTTCATTTCCATTATTTTATTCACATTTTCTATTTTACACCAAAATTGCAGGAACGCACTCGACGAAACCAAAATTGTTCATGAGTAAGCGTTGCCGTATCAGGACCCTAAAAGGACACAGATCACTAAAACCACCTTTTGCAAAAATAAACCTTTTAAGCACATATTTACTGAGTTCAAATTGTATTATTTATTGTAATAATTTAACAGTAAAATAAATAAAGTATTAAATATATAAATTATTTAAGTAAATCGTGGTAAAGACTGAGGCAATCGAATGGAGCGCTTGAATCATTTAACCTCTGGCGGTGGCTGCAACATTAGCGGCCTGCTGGGCAACAGCGAGGGTTTGGACTGTGGCATCTCTTGTGTGTTGTCCCACGCGTTCCTATCGAATTAGAATTACCAATTAAAGTGCAGGAGCAATCAGTGAGATTACTTACAACTTTTTTGCCAATCTTCTTCAGCCAACCCGCTTCGCTTTGTCCAGCGAAGATAGCGAAGACGGCCACGACAAGGATTAAGAATTTGTTGAAATTCATGTTGACAGATTTAGCGTGTTTAGAACTTTTATGCTTGGATCCGACGCTCTCAGTTGGCGACTGATGCTCTTCTTGAAACAGTTTAAGTGAATTTGATAATAGAGAATACAACGACCGATGCTTTTATAGACAAACTTAATATCGCGGGGGAGCACAGTGGAAGCTCTTCCTCAATTATAGAATGTGTAAGTATGTAATACTCAGTATCTGCCTATTAGTGCACACAGTTGATTTTTATTTTTTACTCCACTCGGTGGTTTTATTGGGTTATCGTTACGTACATTCGTCTCTTCGACTATATGGGTGTATTTGTGAGTAGACATACACCTACATATAAATATATATCATGAGAATCCCCGACTTTAAATAAAAAATTAAAATTCGTGTACTTACCAGCTGATAAGGAAATACACTTTTGGGTAGAAAAATGTGGATGTTGATAAATACTACTCTACACGAGACAATAATAAAACGGTAGCAAACAAATAAGTACGTACTACCATTCGGCGGGCCAAGGGTCGAGTCCTCATTAGAACAATATTAAATATCATAGGTATTTCATATAACAGCAGCTCAGAGGCGGCTTTTGTTCACATGTTTATTATCAAATTCAAAATGAAACTGGTTGCATATCGCCAGAGGGTTCGAAAGAAGGTTATCGGATTTATCCCAAATAATGGGAACATCCGCTGCACCACTGAACCCATCACAATATATGTAATTTTTAGGCGATTTTCGTTCGAGTTCCAGCAAATAGAAATACTTACAGTTTATACTTAGCTGCCTCCCAGCGGCCGAGCCTTTATTTCATGTCAGAAAAACACACGGAGGGTGTGTCGAAGGACGATCGCACGTACAAATTAGCTTAATTTTTTATAAAATTTTGGATGTTAGTACGACTCCAGTATTTCAATCCGAGTTTCTGTTATTTACAGCTCATCAGCTGCTTAACTCTGGGATCAGTGTTACCAGAACTTTTCCAGACATCCAGCGAAGTGTCTTTAAAAAATTTAAACTGTGCGAGTATATACCAAGGCTGCATCGTAACGATAAATTTATCCTTAATCGAAGCAATTCTATGGTTTCGGTTAAAATTTTTGAAAATATCGTTTTTACCCGAAACGAAAAGTTGTCTCGATAAATCGCTAACAGATAATGTTAATCGCTAAAATAGAAATGTACTGTTAAATCATATCGAGAAGCCATCTTAAAATTAACGCTAACGAAGAGATTTGCGTGGTTTCCAGGTTGACGATTTCATTTCGTTGAATTAATTTTTCTTTATAGCGAACCGGAATGATATCATTGAGTTTGTTAAGCAGCTCTGTTATATACATATATATGGTGTGATCTTAGACAGCCCACCGACATCGAACACGCTTGGTGAACGAGTTTTGTTGTTTGCGAGTTTAAGGATGTTCGCACCGACCAGTAGAGTTTTGATTGAGATATGTATCTGACAGATTTTACTTACATTCATATTAGAAAGCATAGATGAATATGGAAATTTACTGCATAAGGCATTGGCATTAAAAAAAGTGAAAAATGTTCTACTTTCCCACAGGTTTACCTCAGGCCATGGGCCCCTCTTGTACCAGCTACCACCCGTCAAAGTGATCGCAATCGAACTTTTAAGTAGAATAATGCGCAGACATTTTCTGACAACGAATACTTTGAAATGAGAAAATATGCCTTTCACTGTGTTTTGAAAAAAAAAAAAAATAGATTAAGCGCAGAGGTAGTTTTCAAGTGGCTTTCCGCGAAAGCTAGCTTTTGATGTTTTCTTTTGACAGAGTTTTCAGGAAACATAGAAAGACGAGGGTTAGTTCGAAAAACACCTTTAGCTAACATGAGCATTATATGCATAAGCAGACCAGTGATGCACTTGTCGCTCCGTTCATCCTTGTTAGGAGGAGTTGAGAAACAAATTTGGCTCACTGTAGCTTAACGAATCGCAACTAACCTCAAAATGAGACTTTAGAGAAATGTGTGATTTTTAAATATGTGGAAAGAGTAATTTACTTAACTCAAAATTGAAAAGGAATTGGTGTTGAAAATTCAACAATTAAATTAATTCAACAACAACTTTCCAGCCAATTTGAGTCGTCTATGATCTCCTAAGCTCCTTACTTAAATCATCATCACTTTTTACTTGTATATACAAAAATCGTTTTCTACAACTTTAGTGTGGCAGTTCAATCGAGTATAAAAAAATGTACTTAAAAATTTTTATTTTGGAAAAGTCGCATTGAGTCGCTTTTTGCAGGCGCACAAAGCGCGAGTGGGAACTTCGACTATCGTTAAGCCTTTTGTTTTCAAAAAATTTAGCACAAAAATACAAACAATAATTAAGATTTAAAAACGGTTATTGCATTTTATTTTTCTATTTCATTCTACCTTCTTTCGTTGCCCAGAATATTTTTCGAATAAATTGCTTTACCACAAGGTTTCGAAAGTGAGAGCCTCGTTATTATGTAATTAATGCGAAGTCACTCAGCTATTATGACCCATTGTAAGAATAGATTTTCTAATTATTTTTGTTATCTTAACTGTTTCTAAACTGTTTTGTGAAGCAAGCGAAAAACGGCAAAGGTAATTTTGAATGTGAATTTATTTTAAAATTTTTCTTAACATAATATAAGCGCATACTGATAAATTAAATAAATTAGGCAGTAAATATTGTGTGAAATGCTCGGATGTTGGATATGAAGCTCACTAGCAAATTTCAGTTTTTAACCCCGGGCGGTGGCTGCGACATTAGCAGCTTGTTGGGCCACAGCGATGGTTTGGATCGTCGCATCTCTTGTATGCTGACCAACGCGTTCCTATCGAATAAATATACATAAATGTATTAGTAAACTGAAAGTCATCTGTATATGTGCATGCATACATTCGTACATATATATGATGATTTTAATGAGAATACTTACGATTTTCTTGCCGATCTTCTTCAGCCAACCCGCTTCAGTTTGTCCTGCGAAAATTGCGATGACGATGGCAACGAGGATGAAGACTTTGTTGAAATTCATTTTGACAGATATTTTCTTACAAAAGGATGTATACCTAAACTGTTTAAGACGCGGGAACTGTTTTCGTTAGGACGCTGTATGAGTTTGATGTTGATGAATTCGGCAGATGGGTCTTTTATAGCTACTTCCTCAATTGCTTTATCAGTTCTACGGGGAATCACTGTCTATCACCGCTCGCAATATTGTAGGCAGCTATGTATGTTTGTACATAAGTGCATAAAGACGCTCACTGAAATGCTTTGGTTTTTTACTTAATTCGGTGATTTCACTATTATCAATGAAATAATAATTTACATATATTCATATACATACATACATATATAATGCTCTGATTAATATAATTACTCGCCGTCTAAGCATTTCTCTTAATCAAATCATGAAAAATGTTAACTTTAGATTTGCTTATGATACAAGGATTATCTCTTGCATTGTTAATATATATATAATATATAAGCAATTCGATTATTTGCATATCTATATAGTTCATATATATACGTACGTACATATACATATATGTATATTAAAAAATCTCACTTAAGTAAATTAAAAACAAAATAAGATCTTGTAAATCGCCTTAGAAAGGTTTCTAGTTCAGTCTTCAATTGTACTTATTCACAGTTGGATTCTTCTGTCGGCTTTGAACCCAGCTTAGAAATGGTTGGCAATAACTCAATCTGAGTATAAAGATCCGAATTGCAATCTGTTTTTCAAAAAACGTTAAAAAATGGAACTATTCCCGTAAGGAGAAAACTAAACTTACAAAAATAAATATAAGTTTATTAAAAGATATCGTAAGTAGCTTTGTTGTAATATGACAATCCTACTCAAAGAATTTTTTTAACTAAGAAGTTCTAAATTTTCTGCAATGGACTAAAATTTTTTGAAGAATTAAGCTTCGTATTGGTATTTAAAACTAGAAGATGTGCGTGTGAGAAAAGAATGGCGAAAGCCGTTACTTATTTTTCTAAAAGTGTAAAAGTCATATACTATGTATATATTTTTTGAAGTTTGATGAATTTTGCGTTTACTGAGATTTTTGATTAGACTCCATCACAGCTTAAAAAAATATTAAATATGATATATAAATACGTATGCATGTAAATAGAAGTGAAGTGTTTATTCTCACTGTACACCTTTCGCACATGTGTGAGGGCTTTTATTAATAGTACGTCTGCATCATTCGGGAGCGCCTGTGCGAATTACGGGAGAAGAGACGGTCGGTACGGTCCACTATACAATCTACACTTCATATATGTCTATACTTGAAAATGTGGTGGTCGCCACCTATGTGGATGACATTGCAATGCGTGCATCGAGCACTTCTAAGATTGAAGCGTGTAAAATGATTTCGCATTACTAAGGCTTGGTTTAAAAAACGCAATATGACACTTAATTCCGATAAATCGATATATGCCATGCTTACTATGAACAATGCATATATTCCAGAGTCCAATGCAGTTAAGTAATTGGGCCTCCATCTGGATGCTCCATAAAATGTATTTGGCTATAGGTCTTCAATCCGAATCAAACTATGAAAATAAATTTTTATTGTTCAATTTAATTTTAAATCCTGTTTGGACGTGTGGAATCCAACTCTATGGTATTTGCAGCTATTCGAATGTTGAAACAAAAATTTCTTTACCAGAGTGAAAGTGAATGAAATTTCCGTCTTGGCCTATATTTTTTGTTCATAATTATTGATCAACATTCAATAACCAGTTTGGTTGAGCAAACAAAAGATTTGCGTCTATTTGTTCATGGGGGTTCTTCGAGCGCTTCCAGTGAATTTGAAAAAAGAACCAAAAATTTGTAAAACCGTAATTCGAAATTTCCAATTGATTTTAATCATTTTTGTCATGAATGTCAAAATAAAAAACCCTCACTTTATTCAGGGATCTTTTCATGACTAAAGCATTTAAAACGTTGTTAATTATTTTTCAGCTTTAAATTAGAGCAACTCAGTATAATATGATTAACCATAAATTAACAAAATCGATAATTCTGGTACCCATTACTGCTATACATACTCACTCGTGCATGTGGGAGTGTGTCTGTAGTATTGTACTTTTAATCTCGCCTACATTTCGACACACCTAAGTCACCTTCTACACGATAGATATGTTTCCGAAAATACGCGTACATAGAGAATCAGGTGTAAATCATGATAACAAATATTCAAAACAATACCGTGGTTCTACCAACTGGAAGGTCGGGGTTCGAGCTCTGTTCTGCCCAACATCGAAATATACAAAATTAAATTAATTAATTAGCTGTGTATTTTTAACATAAAAGAAAGGCCCCTCATGAATAAAAACCATCAGTCCTTCGGAGGCTGTAGGTCCCTCTATTCCCTAGAAATAATACCAAGACGCACACAATTATGTACATAAGTGGAGACCGAAAGTCGCATCAACTGTTACAAATTGTTGTTGTGTAGTTTATCATATGTATGAGTGCAGAATATCAAATTTCTCACTTTTACGGGCCGACGGAGAAACCGACATGGCGGTCTCTCGTCATTCTGACCCGATCGGTATAAATTTTGACGGGCCTATCTTTGGCCTTCTTGTATATGTGTCTGGTAATAACTTCTGGATTCGTAGAAGTTTTTAACTATGCAATGTAGGCTGTAGTGTCGTTTGGACTTACCACTAATTGGGTTTGAAAATTGATTCAATGGAGAAATAAGAAATTTTTCGTGCAAAAATGTCCAATTTGAAGGTTTTAAATACAGATTTTCCCACCCTAAAAATTCGGTAAATAAATAGTAATGCCAGAACGCTTGTGCCTTGGTTTTACAAGCCAATTTTAACACAAATGGCGGCCGCTATAGCCAAGTGATTATCAATGCGTACTGAGTCTCAGAAGGTTCGAGTTCGAGTCCAGACTTCACCAACATCCAAAAATTATAGAATATTAATTTAAATAAAAAAAAAATAAGTTAATCTTTGTAAATGCGGTCGTCCCTCTGCCGGGAATGCCATCTCCTACGAGTGCATTTCTGACATGAAATAAAAAAGCAAATTTACTCTTTGAAAACTGAGTGGAAGATCCTACCAAATATTGTGCAAATTAATAGTCTAACTGTTTGTACTGTTTAATTTAAAGAACATTATAAGTAATTTTATTATTGTCAATTACATATTTACATAAATAGTTTTCATCTTATTATTAAATAATTACAGTCAAATTTAGAACTAACAATAAATAATTTATCCCTTCAACGTTGCAGCAACATTGGCCGCCTGTTGGGCCACTCCGATGGTCTGGATTGTGGCATCTCGTGTATGTTGGCCGACGCGCTCCTAAAATGTGGAGCAAAAAGTAAAATTAAGTTTTTTTATCATTTCAAATAATAAACAGCCTCATGTATTTTTCGGACTTACAATTTTCTTGCCAATCTTTTTCAGCCAACCCCCCTCGGTTTGTCCAGCGAAAATGGCAAAGATGACAGCGAGGAGAACAAACAGTTTGTTAAAGTTCATTTCGAATGTGTGTTGAACCGAATATTTTTGTTTCAGGTTTCTTTTTCGACTACTGCTTCTGCTTTCTTCGAGAGTTGAAATGTGTCTGATGATCAGCGACTAATTTGCCATCGACTTTATACGCTACATCGCGAAGCATCGGGATGGCCATTATCAGCTGCCTATGTATGCTTGTACTCGTATGTGTGCATGTAAATATATTTGTGATCTACCGCTTTTCTTTCTTTCCAATGTGCACTTGAAACATTGCAGCTTTGTTTACAATGATTTCAGGGGATTTTTTCGCGCATTCGGTATTAACACCAAGGCCAAAAGAAAGAAGCAAAATGTGCCGGTTCTTTCCACGCTGAGCGCTGTCTGCATAATGGTCGCCTTTTGGAGTTTCAGCAGGCTTAGTAAGACAAGGTTTGAGTAAAGCTTAAAGCAAATTTTCTGCCGGAGTTTGCCATTAAGTGAATATGGTGTATATGTGTATATGTATGAACATTGGGCAATATATACAAATAATTTATTCCACTAATGGTTTGCTGTACTATTTACATATATTCGTCTTGTTATATGCAATTTTATAAATACTCAATTATTGTTCAGCCATACAAAAAATATAAACGGACTCTTTTAAAAATTTAGTGAGCAAACTCTGATGGTAATTCCAGATATTTGCTGACTCCTTCTTTGTGTTGTATGTATGTATTTGTGTTGTTTCGCCTTTTCTGTTGAAAATAAAAGCAGAACCATTTTTATTTAAATAATATGAATTTGAAGAGTTTTGTTGTGCTATCCACGATTTTTAGCAGTCTGTACTGTCAGTCGGAAGGTCAAGCCTCGAGTCCTGGTCCTACATCCTAGGTACAAAAATTGTAGAAAATTAAGCTAATTTTTTTTTAACTGTCGTCGCCCCTCGTCAGGGAATGTAAAGTCCTCCAAGTGTATTTCTGACATGAAATTAAGGTTCTCATAAAAAACCACCAACCGTTCGGAGGCAGCCTAGTATAAACTGAAGATCCCTCCATTTATTGGAAAAACTTCAGGACCAAATTTCGTTATTTTTCGAAAGTATTGTAATATGTCTATAATTGCAGTTATTTCTTCGCACAAAATGAAAAAAACAAAATTATTTTGTGATCCAGGCTAATTTTCGTTAACAGTATAACGTCATCTTTGAAACAAATCCACCCACATCCAAAAAAGTAGCACAAGATATACCGGCAAATTCATGTTTTTGAAAATTTGTTGATAAGCTGGATATAATTCGGTATAAAAACCCGTAAATGTTTTGTACTTATACATTAAATGTATATATGTATATATCGCATATAAAGAAATCCCCGGCAAAGCGCTGATAAGAAAGATCCAACGGGGCATTTCTCGCGTGAGTGAAGTGGTAGACAGTTCTGCCGAACTAAGTCCCTTCATATAAAAGCGTAGAAGAGTAATTGAATGATCGCCAGAAAAAATTCGAACGTCACAGCAAATAGCAGCTCTCGCAACTGCAGAGAATAGTATTTTAATACACAAATAACAAAAAGAAATAAACATATTCGAAATGAATTTCAACAAAGTGTTTGTTCTCCTCGCTGTCATCTTTGCCGTTTTCGCTGGACAAACCGAGGCAGGTTGGCTGAAGAAGATTGGCAAGAAAATTGTAAGTTCCGAAAAACATACAGGAGAATATAATAATAAATTTATTAAAATATTAACATCATATTAATCTCTACTTTACTTGAATTATAATTTTTAGGAGCGCGTCGGCCAACATACACGAGATGCCACAATCCAGACCATCGGTGTGGCCCAACAGGCGGCCAATGTTGCTGCAACGCTGAAGGGATAAATTGATTTTTTGTGAAAGTGTTTATATTAAGATAATTTATTATTATTATTATTATTTAACGAATTAGTTTTGATGTATTACTAAATTATATGATTTAAGCAATATTATTTTAATAAAAGTAATTTTTATTCTATAAAGATTTGCTCATGTCTTAATTTTAAATAAAGTGTGGACCTTGAGTAGTAGTGAAATGTGGCTACATACCAGAGGCAGCCTATTATACCATCAGCTGCATATATGTATTCATAAAGCCAAAGTAAAACTTTGACTACACATCTAAAATTTTAGATTATTGCCAGGGATGGGAATTTTTAGACCGAATCGTCATTTCGAATTTGTGAAAGATTTTACATATATCCTCAGTATGAAGTTTTTTGTATCATAAAGCTTATTCAAAGATAGACGTTGGGGACTTAGAAGTATTGTCAGCAACTTTGTTGAACTTGTTGTAACTACAAANCATTGGCAGCCTGTTGGGCCACACCGATGGTCTGGATTGTGGCATCTCGTGTATGTTGGCCGACGCGCTCCTAAAAATTATAATTCAAGTAAAGTAGAGATTAATATGATGTTAATATTTCAATAAATTTATTATTATATTCTCCCATATGTTTTTCGGAACTTACAATTTTCTTGCCAATCTTCTTCAGCCAACCTGCCTCGGTTTGTCCAGCGAAAACGGCAAAGATGACAGCGAGGAGAACCAATACTTTGTTGAAATTCATTTCGAATATGTTTATTTCTTTGTGTTATTCGTGTATTAAAATGCTATTTTCTGCAGTTGCGAAGGCTGCTATTTGCTGTGACGTTCGAATTGTGTCTGGCGATCATTCAATTATTCCGTGCAGCTTTTATATGAAGAGATAATTGATCGTCAGAGTGATCTCCCACTTGACTTATTCATTTAACGCAACAAATTTCCGTGTCTCTTTTGTTATCAGCGGTATGCCGGGGATTTCTTTCTCCGCGGTTTATGGTTGTAAGAGTTTGTTTGTGTTTGTATCAGGCTAAAGTGGTACTCTGCTTTTCAAATATTTTGTGCTAAATGTAATTTTGTTTTATGCCTTTGGGTAAGAGTGAAGTTTCTAAATGTTACATAAAAAGTGATTCCCAATGCAGCAGCGATTTCCTGACAACCATTTTTTTATTGCTTGGGCGGCCGCAGTAGCCAAGCTTTGACCAACGTTCAAAAATAATTTTTCAAATTGTGACAAATTCGACAGAGAATGTTAACCCCTCAGAGTGTACTTCTGACATGAAAAGAGTGACCTATAAAAATTCATCAGCCTTTCGGAGGCGGCTTAGAATAAACTGTGGGTCCCTCCACTCGACTCAAACCTCATATCGGGGAGGAGCTCGGCCGAAGATCGCTTCAGCGGTTACAAAGCGCCAATTAATAAAACCAACGCTACAAAAATAACAACATTGCAGACATATTAGTAATAAAATACATATATACATGCGAGTATAAATCTACACTATTAATTTTTGACTGCATTCTCGTATAGTGAAGTAGGGAAACCAGCGAAACAAACAACAAAAGACAACAGTTTTTTGTTAAAGAAAAATAAAGATGAAATCGGAGAGCAGTGTGGTTTCGCTAGTTTACGTATTTTCATATTTCCTATCCATCAGCTTAACAATCTGGGTTTTCGGATTCAGCAATAAAAAAAACACACGTTTTAAGCATTTTAAGGAATCACCAAATACCAGGAAAGACCAGTTGAAACGATAACTTTTTAATAATTTTCGATCGTTAACCTCTTTCGCATTGTTAAGCCACAAAAACAAAATATACCTTTAAAACAAAACAAAAACAGTCAGCGAACATTAGTCAATTAAAGTATTTCTATGCTTATACATGCATCTGTACATGCGTGTATGTGTGCATGAGTGTCTACACCATATTGTTTTGTTTTTACATGAGTCAATAGGAAATTGGAGTTAAAGCTTATTCAAAATGATGTCAGCGGCAGAAGTAGCTTAAAATGCAGCCAGCTTCAATTTCTATTAACACACATACATACATTCTCTACTCTATATATTTATATACATAACTTTGAATTAAGGTTTAAATAGTGAGCGTTGACTATTAATTACATATCTACATACACTTCATTTTTCCCGCTGGGCAGTTAGTAATCCAAACATTTTCAATTCAATTTCATAGTAGCAAAAATTTTATGAATGAAACTCTGCTCCGAAAAATGGGGTTTTCATATACGCGCTTTGCCTCAATAAATATTTTTATATGTACATATATATACATAGATACATGTATTCCTGCATACTGAACACCAACATACGAGTACATACAAACACTCAGACGGGCTGACCTCTTTAAGGCCTTGACTACCTCGGCTGTTACAGTGAACAGTTGTTGTTGCCATGATATTATACAAATATATAACGAACGTTGGCAATTATGCCAACCCGCTGTGGTGTCACCTTCGGTACCAATAAGGTGTAGGTGTTCATTATTTAAGGCATTGTATCAAAATCCCCTTAGTATTCTGTTGTTGACAGAGCTGTTTCTGCCATTTTAAATGCTGATAACTTGACTCATTGCGCGGAAAATACGCTGCCACAGACACAAACATACATACAGAGCCGGTAGCATATTAAAATTGCATTATTTTCATACATCCTGGAAGCTCTCGGAAACTACTATGACCTCGAAAGCAGGTACAGATCCAACATAGGTAGGTTCCTATAGGCCGAAATTAGAATCGAAACAGACCTTACCATGCCACCTATTCAGCTTCAATAAAAGGCACAGTCTAATATAGTAGGAGCATAGGATCGTAACAGATATAACATCAATGTCGGAAAACAAGAAATATTGTACTGCAATGTTCCTATATATTGCCGATTATTATACAAGCTGAATTATACGCTTCCCGTAAATGTTTGTACGACCTAAAAAGCTTCCTTATTGGCGGATACTTTTAGGTTATATACGAGTATATAATTTGCGCTTTGTAACCGGTGAAGCAGTTTGCGGCGTAAGTTTGATGGGTTTCCAAAAAATGGAGGAACTTACAGTTTATACTTAGCCACCTCCGAACGACCTATGGATTTTTATGAGGGGCTTTTATTTCATGTCAATAACACAATCGCACATTCCCCTTTCGTCTTACATTTAATTTTTACAAGCGATTTTCCCGAATCTGCTGCCCATGAACTTTTAGTATACGACATAAGAGGCCCGTCGCCGCCCTATAGATTATACCAACATTTTTAACAATGGAAGTAAAGCCTAGAAAAGACACATGTACTTAAATCTCTGTAAACTGGAATTCAATATCTCGGAACGTTCTCGTTACTTACTTGGGAGTTGCATTGGTTAAAATACTCACGCGGAAACCACACACTCAGATGATAAGATTACTCAAACAAAATTGCATTGGATTATAGATTCTAAGGTCCAACTAAGCCTAGAAAATTTACTTTTACTTTTGAAATGCTTATAAAGCCATCTTGGACGTACGGGATTTAACTTTGGGGTTCAGCATCTAAGTCTAGCGCAGCTAGAATTGAAAGCCCACAGTCTAAATACCTTAAGAACCATACAAAGGCTCCGCAAGTAATAACGTGACAAAGAAGGCGCAAAAGCTGCGTAAAAACTACTACTGAATCAGGTTATCTGACCCAGGCCGTTAAAGAAAGAGGATTTACATTTGAACTGTGATTAAGGACTCTAACGCATTCAATTGTACTATATGGAAGGATAATCAATATATTTATTACAACTATGTGTCATCCTCTATAATACCTGTTTTGTGAAATTGCTTAAGTATTCGTGTTTGGTGTCCCTAATGATACCTTTACACATCGAACATCCTAGAGATACCACGGTCCATACCATGGCTGTTGCCTAACAGGCGGCCAGTGTTGCTGCAAGGTTGAAAGGATAAGCTCGTTTCATGAAAAAGTTATTTAATTTTTTATGCTTCCATATACTTCACCGGAAAATATATTTCAATAGAAGTTATTTACTATAATTCCCGAATATTGTGCTATTTGATATTTTTTTTATTAGGAAGTGCAATTTGATGTGGATAATTCAATAGTCGTGATTCGTTGTTTGCCATGAAGATTTTTTACTGGACGTCGTCGTTGGGTATGCTCACAGCTAAAATTTTGTTTGGTAAAAAAATTCCGATAGGCAAATATTTCATATACACCAAAAGGGAAGAATAGACGGAAAGCTCATTGGAAACAGTCATAATATCCATATATACATATACTGTGTCTAAATGTGAGGCCGGCACAGACCACGCCATTAATCAAGATAGCATCACACTCGATATTTTCAACTTAGAATTCCAAACAGAGGTTGAGCGCAGTCGTCTGTACGGGAAAATGTACCAGGTTTCTGGTAGACAGCCAAGTGTAGCCAAGAGCGTTGAGTACCAAATTTTATTAAACACGTTTCCTTAGTTATGGAAGGTAATAAGCAACATAAGTCTATGAAAAATCTGCGCAGATGTTTTATATCGACAGAAACTCAAATTAAACATGATTTTCATGCGCTAAACACAAAACTGCTAAAATCTGAAAAAAACTAAATAATACAAGTCAAAATACGACATTGTACTGTAATCAATTTACCGTCATTCAAAATAGGACATTTTTTACTTGGAACATGCTTTTATTAAAATACGTTTTTTTTCTAAAATTTTACATTGTTAAAACTAATAAAATAAATAAGTTAATCTAACGGAAACACAGCTCGGTAAAGACAAGTTTATCCCTTCAGCGTTGCAGCAACATTGGCNATATAAAGAAATCCCCGGCAAAGCGCTGATAAGAAAGATCCAACGGGGCATTTCTCGCGTGAGTGAAGTGGTAGACAATTCTGCCGAACTAAGTCCCTTCATATAAAAGCGTAGAAGAGTAATTGAATGATCGCCAGAAAAAATTCGAACGTCACAGCAAATAGCAGCTCTCGCAACTGCAGAGAATAGTATTTTAATACACAAATAACAAAAAGAAATAAACATATTCGAAATGAATTTCAACAAAGTGTTTGTTCTCCTCGCTGTCATCTTTGCCGTTTTCGCTGGACAAACCGAGGCAGGTTGGCTGAAGAAGATTGGCAAGAAAATTGTAAGTTCCGAAAAACATACAGGAGAATATAATAATAAATTTATTAAAATATTAACATCATATTAATCTCTACTTTACTTGAATTATAATTTTTAGGAGCGCGTCGGCCAACATACACGAGATGCCACAATCCAGACCATCGGTGTGGCCCAACAGGCGGCCAATGTTGCTGCAACGCTGAAGGGATAAATTGATTTTTTGTGAAAGTGTTTATATTAAGATAATTTATTATTATTATTATTATTTAACGAATTAGTTTTGATGTATTACTAAATTATATGATTTAAGCAATATTATTTTAATAAAAGTAATTTTTATTCTATAAAGATTTGCTCATGTCTTAATTTTAAATAAAGTGTGGACCTTGAGTAGTAGTGAAATGTGGCTACATACCAGAGGCAGCCTATTATACCATCAGCTGCATATATGTATTCATAAAGCCAAAGTAAAACTTTGACTACACATCTAAAATTTTAGATTATTGCCAGGGATGGGAATTTTTAGACCGAATCGTCATTTCGAATTTGTGAAAGATTTTACATATATCCTCAGTATGAAGTTTTTTGTATCATAAAGCTTATTCAAAGATAGACGTTGGGGACTTAGAAGTATTGTCAGCAACTTTGTTGAACTTGTTGTAACTACAAAAGTAGTTGTTGGCGTATTTTGCGGGAGCGTTAGTCCTTGACAGTACGCAAAATTTTTGAGCGCATAACCCGCAGGGGTTACAAACAGGGCCTTATTTTTCATTGATCTAAAATCATTTATTACCAAATGAGTTTAAAATTAAGTGAAAACGCTCTAAGTTGTTCTCAACCATTTAATTGCATTTAATTTCATTTGATAAAGGCTAAACTCAGTGATCTAGAGTCTGATTAAATATTCTGATGAAGTAGTGGCTGTATCGAAAGCAATTTTAAAAGTTTCAAATAATAAAAATTAAAAATAATGTGAGATATCCGTTTGCTAACCATATTCGATTACACGACTTCGGGCTGAGCACCAACATCAACGGATTTCTTAAAATTGAAAACTTTTAGCTGGCTAAAATTACACTTTTTATTAGTATTTTAAATTACAAGCGTTAGATAACAAAAAAGAAAAAATATATATAATGTAAAAGATTAAACAAATGTTTGGCGCCGCGCAATATATTATTGAGTCGTCTAGCAAGCGTACGACCTTGTGGAGAAGTGAAGGAAGGTCTAAAATATGACTGCGTGGTTTATGGACAATTCCTTAAAAACTAGTTTTTTTTCGTTCTATTGACTGCCCAGAATTTCTACAGAAAGGTTTACTCCCAAATTAATTATCAAAACTTTGTTGCCATTACTGGGTCACTTGTCAAGTACCAGTCTAAGATTAATATTTTTCCAATTTCTGCTCAGCATCAAACCCGTAATAAATGCTATGTAATACAATCGTTTTAAAAATCTGTACAAAAAAATTTATTATTTCATCTGATTACTACGTTTTGACCTGATATACCCTTCACGGTTAAAGGAGACTACCAAATACTTTCCCAGTGGTGTTCATGTTTCTAACTACACTAAAGCTTATGCGCCCAAACTAGGCATATAGATAAAGATCTGAGCTTTCTGCATTCTATAAACAAACAAAGTTATATATAGTGCTTTGCTTTTGTTAAGACTCATTACACCCAGCGGCCATGTTCCGAATTTGATAAAAACATTTTTTTTTTAATTTTCGTGCAAAAGTTTTGCTTTAATATCAAACAGTCTGAAATAAATAAATTAATCACTTAATCTACATTTACATTTATATGTTTTATCAGCTAATATAAATAAAACAAGTTTATCCCTTCAGCGTTGCAGCAACATTGGCAGCCTGTTGGGCCACACCGATGGTCTGGATTGTGGCATCTCGTGTATGTTGGCCGACGCGCTCCTAAAAATTATAATTGAAGTGAATTGAGGATTAGTTTGATGTTAATATTTCAATAAAATTTTTATTATATTCTCCCATATGTTTTTCGGAACTTACAATTTTCTTGCCAATCTTCTTCAGCCAACCTGCCTCGGTTTGTCCAGCGAAAACGGCAAAGATGACAGCGAGGAGAACCAATACTTTGTTGAAATTCATTTCGAATATGTTTATTTCTTTGTGTTATTCGTGTATTAAAATGCTATTTTCTGCAGTTGCGAGAGCTGCTATTTGCTGTGACGTTCGAATTGTGTCTGGCGATCATTCAGTTATTCCGTGCAGCTTTTATATGAAGAGATAATTGATCGTCAGAGTGATCTCCCACTTGAGTTATTCATTCAACGTAAAAATATTTCTTATCAGCGCCGCCGGGGATTTCTTTCGTCACAATCGACTATTACTACACGTATGGCACCAGTAAGATCCATACGAATACTCGCAAGTATGCATTTTATTGTTTGTGCAAACTTTTGGGTTATTCCGTACAAAATTGTGATTCGATGATTTTTTGTTATAAGATTTTTATCTGCAAATGGAATGAGCATACATAGAACGTCCCATATATATGATATATGTACATATGTATGTTACGTGACAAAATCATCTATTTGAATATATGTATATATCAATATATATAAACATATATAGTGTTTCCTGAAAATAAAACAGATACCTGGAACTAAGTTCGATATATAAATTATACTTTATTTATTGTAAAAGGAATATAAATAAGCACAGAACCGAATGCTGAATGTTTGGCTTAGGGATTCATATTGACATTTTCGTGAAAGACTTTGAAGTGCAAAAAACACACAGCCCACACATACAAATAAGTACATACATACATGCCGTAGGGGGCATGCCATAGTGAATGGTTCCTTGCCAATCCCACCTAACACCCAACAAGACCTTCCAGGCTGTCAATCCTGTCCAGCTAATTTTTTATCGGTATTTATTCAGCTTCGGAAGTGTGTAAATTTTAGTTATGAAGTTTTTTCCTCTCAACTCGTGTGACCTTTTTTGTGTATCCAGCATTTTTCAAGTGGTCCAAAATTGTTATTTCTGCAATGTTTAACTCCTGGGCAATCAAAACCGCATGGCGATCAGACTCCACGATTTCCTTTATTAATGTATCGAAACTGAAGTTTTTGGCATATTTTAAATAACTATGACAACAATACAATAAGAAATTGGTTTATTGATGTTCAAATGCGGCTTTGAACCTCTATGAGGGCAGCCACCTACCACCTCTTAAGTGTTAATCATAAAAAGCACTTGCAAGAGTTCTAAGCGCTTCATTCACTTTCTTATCACAAGAAACCTGAAGCAGCACGTCGAAAAAATCCCCTTCGATTTGCATTCATGTTCACAAGCGTCTGCTTACTCTTAAGAATAAAAGCGCTTAATGCGTTGGAGGTCAATCAGTAATCTCCCCATTCTCACTCTCTGCGCTTAACTCACTTGACTCACCCGATTCGTAATGAATACAAAAATTGCAGTTTTCTTTGCTGTGTTCCTGCTTTTTGCAGTCGTGGGACTCACACACGCCGACTGGTTGGACGACCTCAATGAAGGAACTGTAAGATATTTATTTAATAGTACTTACCTTTCTTGCGGTCCGCTCTTTACTCATTACTCTTTTCCTTTCTCGATTTCAGAGCCAAGTGGTTTCTGCTGTGAACGAAAATGCTGGCAAAATTAACACATTCGCTACAAATATCAACATTCTTGGTAAGATATTAGGAAACTTGGATCCTGATTCCAATGAGCAAGAATAAACATTTTCCTGGAGAATTCAAATTGGTATTTATTAAAAGAGTTTGTGGGTCTAAAATTTAAAGAAATATAATAAAAGTAGTCTAAAATGAAACACAATTTTTGATTAAAAACAGCTTAGACGGAGATATCGAAATCGGAGGACTATATCATTACAACTTATTTATTCAGATATGAGAATTAATATTTAATCGTAAAATGAAATACAAACTTGATATGGTCATGAAAGCCATAAAGACTTCTTCTTTCTTGATTTTATTGGATCTCTCCGGGCTGTGAGGATTCCGACTAAGCCACTTTGTCTTACTTTCAGAGGGAAAAAATGTTCGCCATAATTATTTAGGCTTCTGTAGCAAATTTTACAGAAGTCAAACGATAAATACAATTTTTCGAATAGATCGGTCCCATCTCTATTTTCCGGAAAGTTTTTCCCAAGTCAATTTAAGCAAATAGTTACTTATTTACTAAAGTCCATTTAATTCGAAGGATTTAAAAATAAATTCACATCCCGGGAAATAATTTCTTATTGGATGCCAGAAGATACCCCCAGATTTCAAATCTCTCCGATTAGTGGTTTAGTCTGTGGGTTGATCCGTCAGTCATTCAGGACAGATTATAGAACCGTTAATTCTGAATAGTGTAGCACAATTGGTTTGACCAAATTAATGGAAATAAACAATTTTAGACGTCTTTTCAAAGCATAATAACAAATTTAAAGCAGAAACATTGTGTATCTGAATATTGGGGTTGTGGTATTTTTGTGTATTTACTGGAATTACACATCTCTAAATATGTTTTGTTATCAAACTTTTTAAATGTAAACCTTTACTTCGCGCCAAAATGTGATTTTTTAGTTTGCCATTTACAAAAGCGTATGTAAACAAAATACAATATTTTTGAAACACAAATGGGAAATACTGATCTCTCAATCAAATGTGCGAATAATCCCCATAAAATTATGAAAAAGTTAACTTTTTGTCTACATACATATATGGGTTTATATATTTTCTTTGTTTTACCAAGTTGACTCATGGGTGAGTCGTCGTAAAAAGAAATCACTTGACTAATCGAACGCTTGATTATTCTCTCGCTTTTACTTGTAAGAGCAAAGCGAACAAGCGAATCAAAAAGTAATACAATCGATCACGTTGGTGTAGACAAAATGTTCAAATTAAGAAAGAATGTATACATACATACACATACATACATGTATATGAAGAAAAGTTAAAAAGGAAATACAAAAAAATAATATATTCCAATATTAATTCTCATATCTGGAAAATGGATTGAATTGATTGATATGCTGAAGTTTTCCGCTTCCCATCATTTACGTTCATTATGGTCAATGCTTGCAGACTTCCAAATCTCATGCTCGTAAATTCTTTTTTGATGGAATTTGGACCCAAAACCTCCTACCTGAATAAATCGGTTGTATGGAGGTTATATGTATGATAAAGTCTTCCGATTTCGATGGTTTTCAGTGGAAATGTTTATCTGTAGATATGAGTGTATAATACACATACTCCAAGATGCCTTTTTGACGGAGTTTTGACCAAATCTTCACACCTGAAATATTCGGTGTGTGGAGTGTTATCGCCGTTCGATTTTGATAATTTTCAGCCCCAATGTTTAATTCATCACATATATACGGATTACCAAATTTCACGCTCTTAGAACTTTAAAAATCTGACATCAGATTCATAATCAGCGACCCCAAATACCCCTAGATACCAATTTCTATAAATTATTAATAATATTTAAAAAAGGTCTTGCCACTTTTCATCAAAACGTCCAGACATGGGTATTTTTTTTATTCCTAGTTTTCGAAAATGTTAAATATATTCGTGGGTCAATAATCGTGTCGTGCGGTGTTCTAGTTATTGAAAATCTGAGTTTCTAGATATTATTTTGAGTGCTCAGCTTGCAAAGTGAAAATAAAACGACTTTTCATCAATTTTTTTTCTTCTAAGTAGACTCAAAAAAAATTTTCTTGACTGGAAGTGAAAATTATTCGCACGGATGTACATATATAAATATTATTTCAAAAAGGTATGACGAAGTAATTATTTATTTTTAACAATTTTCCTTCTAGAAAATTTGTAAAAAAAATTCTCTTTGTGTCATTCAAAAAAAAAAAAAAAAAAAAAGAAGAAAAAAACGAAAAAAAAAAACAGAAAAACCTCCTTCAGGCACGTTTAGTGAACGCCCACTTGATTAAAGAAATGAAACGTCAATAAGCCGTTTACATTTGCATACCCCCTCATTCGCATGGTAAATGTACTATATGTATGTAAAAGTGAGCCTCTCGCCTCCTGGGAAATTGACAGGTTGCGCCAGAATTATATTATTACACTTTCGCTTTGCTTCATTCATATTGTAATTTTACTTTGTTCATTATGGCCTCAAGGCTCTGTTTGTTCTACTCAATTCGCCTCATTTGGTTTAATTTTTGGTAGCATTTGTGAAAATCGCGAGCAGATTGGATGAATTATTGACAGCTTAAAAGTGATGAGATGATTACAAATAACGGAATGAAGTTGCATTCACATACAATACATGACATACTCCTCAAATACGTACAAATCTTATGATAAGTAGATGTAGCTACGAGTGAGAGTGGGATGAGAGTCGACATCCGCTCATCAGCGAAGGCGTGCCTAAGCTGGATTAAAATGACAAAAAGTGTACAATGAGAAAAATTAATTTAAATAATAATGAAGTTGAAATGAAGAGCTGCATTTCTTACATACGCCACAAGCTCTCTAACGAAAAATAAAATTCTATTTAAAATTTATATATACACACATACATATGTATAATTATATTTTGCGCTTTTTAAAATCTGAAGAGATTTTCGGCCGCGCCCTCCTCCGATTTGTAGTTTTGCGTCTTAATGTTTTTTTTTTGAAAAAATGGACGGACCTTCAGTTTGTACTAAGCCGCCTCCTAGCAGCCTTTATTTCGTCAGAGAAGATCATTCGAAGGACTTGACATTCCTTGGTCAGGGGCGATGGCAATTGGAAAGTTTAACTTCATTTTATATTTAAATTAACTTTCTACAGTTTTTGGATGCCGGTCGAACCCGGGCAATGGTATTCCGAACGGCGGTATGCATTGCTAACCACTCTGCTATTGTGGCCGCCACATACACATACGCACATATTCAATATGCCCAAACGTTATTGTTCGAATTATTTAACCAATTTTTACGAGTTAAATTTTCAATTTCCACCAAGAATTCAATTCTCCACACCCCTGGAGCTTGTTTTTATTTCTATATTGAAATTTCATTCTTTCTTAGTGGTCGGTCGTTATGGCCGTGATTCGCAGTAATAACATACTCACACATATATGCATATCTGCGTGCAGAGCGGAGCACTTGAGAATATGCCACATTTTTCGCTTGTCTATTGACAAAACATCCAACCAACTACGCATATTTCTGTATGCATTCCACTCCAGATCCAGAAGTGTGACAGCATTGTAGGCAATGTGTTTGATGTGATGTTGTCTGACTCCCCGCAGCGAAAGGATAACACGACTCAGTAGGAGTTTAATAAATTCAGCTTAAAAGGTGTGAGTGTTTTTTATTTCCTTCGAAACGCGCTTACAAGTCTACACACACATGTAGGTAAGTACATACAGATAAATGGAAAAATAAACGCTGGGGCGTCGTACGTCGCATTAGTGGATTTTTATAGCCTCGGGCGTAGCTCGGGAAATGATTGAAAACGCATGTTGTTCGAATAAGCACTTGAAATCCATTTTGTTGCTGTTTTGCGTTTATTAGTTTCGATAAGTGTTTGTA